AGGCCTTGGACATAGCATCATAAAATATCAACAAAAATTTGACAGAACAACACATTATTTGTTGGCATTTCGTATTTTTTGTAGCGGAAAATCATCGAAATTCCTCGTAAGGATCCATTTTCAAAGTCTTAATACTGAATTTTACTCGAGGTTCGCAAAAATCGTCAATTTGATAATCAGGGTTGCGGCGGTTGCCACAGTCAGGAAATGCCGGGAAATGTCAGGGGATTTTATAAAGTCAAGGAACACCTGGAAAAGTCAGGGAAAATGACGAAAATGTCAGGGGAAAATTGTCAAGTCACCTTAATTTCCTTTCTAGAATGGGTTTGACGCGTTGAACAACAAATGGTACCCCAAAACTATTTCAAATCATTTATTCTTATGCATCTGGCATATCCTCAATTTTCAAGGAATTTTACCAAAATGTGACCGAGAAATCGAAGAAATGTCAGGGAATTTCATTTTCCAAATCCTGCGGCAACCCCGTAATGCTATGTTCTAATCACAGTGTAAACCGTTTGGAAGTTCCTAAGAAATGAAGCTGTTTAAGAAACGACTATGAGGCGACCCAAAGGCTCTCAGATAAAGGATCGAAGTTTGGATTGACCTCAAGTCTGTGAGGAAGGGTTTGAGTGAGAGGAGCCGTGTCGGGACGGAAGTTATGCACGTGCGAGTAATCAATGAGCTTGGAAGTATAACTTGCTTTACAAGGCTCCCGTCAAGAAATTCGATCTAACCAAGAGCCAGTCCGACTAATATGTTGCACTTGTCTTCGCCTTTGCGGCTTCGAAGCTGCCCACCCTCATGCACCCTCACCGCGCGCCGTCATAAAGCAGAACCCCGTACGAGCCTTCAGACATTGTCGAATTCCCTTAGATAAAATACTAATTTTCAAGGAAACTTTTGGATCTCTCTTTTCTAATTTTTCAGAATAGAATAAGGTACAGAAATAGCCCGAATGATTTAACCAAACAAAACTAAGGATGAGATCCTGAACCTTGAAATAGATTTGTGCTTGGAATAACGAAAAATTAGAAAACATTCCAGGCATAAATGTTGTAATGCTAATCACTATCATAGAGTGCAAAATGCAAATCAAAAGATACAAAAAAATGGACAACCAATGCTAAAAAAGCAAACTAAGAGAATGCCTGGGACGTTTCGGAGTGATTTCAACCCCTCCTCTATCAGGAAACAAAAAACTTAAAAATTTAAAAATCAAAAACCTATTAGATCCCCATTCGTGATAACGAAAATGAGTTTTTGACTCTTTTTAAAGCCTAGGGGTTTTCACTTTTTATATTTTTTGCTTCCTGGTCGTGGAGTGGGTTGAAACCAGCCCCAAACGTCCCAGACATTATTCTTGTTTTGTTTTTTAGCCTCGGTCGCCTATTTCTTGGAACATTTCGTTCGAAATTTGATTTACAGGGTTGCCACGGAATTTAGATCGTGAAACTCCCTGACATTTCCCAGATTTCCCTGACTCGTTTTGGTGAAATTTCCTGACAATTGATGATATGCCAGATCGTAAAAAAACCTATTTAGAGTTACTCAGTGTTCCGGCAAAATTCGTCGTTCGAAAAGTCAAAGCCATTCTAAAATGAAAGTGAAGATGACTTGATAATTTCTCCCTGACATTTTCGTCATTTTCCTTAACATTCCTCGGTTTTCCCTGACTGTGACATCCCTGTTTAGTGTAAATCATGTGAAAATTTCAAGGAAAAATACTCGTTACTCTCCTCAAAAATTAGTATTTTATAAGGGGACATTTTGCAACTTGTGAAAGATGATAGGTGGTTTTTGATGAGGACCGGTCGTCTGGGCCGGCTCCGGCGGGGGTGGCAGAGAAGCCAAGCGGCGCGGCGCTGCGAGTGGGAAGAAAAGAGCGAGTTGGCCGAGCGAGCGGCGAGGAAGGAGGGAATGTAGGTTAAAACGAACTGCTCTACAGCGTTGCGCCATGACGCGGGAAAGCTCGCCGGGCCCCGCGGAAGCTCGCCGAGTGGCGGCCCAGTCGGGACGGGTGTTACTCGTCGGCCGGAGCCACCCAAGGGAGCCACCNNGGGGGGGGGGAATCAATAGGAGCCGTGACGTCACATTCTATCGATCCGTCTCCCCGTTCCAAGTTGCAACCCTCGCCGCCTCGGCCGCCCGGCTATAGCTCCGCCGCACACTCCATCCAGCCAATAGGAGAACTCGCACAAAATTTTCAAACTTTAAAAGCTTATAACTCCGTTTAAACAAATTTTTGAGGAATAATATAAACATAAAAATTCACATTTCAAGTCGAAAATTTCAGGTGCGAGCCCTCGTAAAAGTTGGCTCCAGCGAGCGGCGCACAGTGGATCGAGTCACTAAGAGAAGTCGGACAAAATTTGGAAACTTTAAAAGCTTATAACTCCGTTTAAACAAATTTTTGAGGTTCAGAAAGTGGTTCCATTGGTTTCCTCGTCAAATTTTCTTATAAGAGCACCCCTTAAAATTTAAAACGTGACGAATTGAACATCAAAATTTGCAGTTTTTAGTCCTAAATTCTATGTCCACCCTCTCTAATTGACTCGATCCACTGTGCACAGTGGATCGAGTCAACAGAGAGGTCGGGCATGAAATTTTTTTCTATAACTGCAAATTTTGATGGTTAATTCGTCTCGTTTTAAAATTTAAAGGGTGCTCTGTAAAGAAGATTTTACGAGGAAAACCATCGGAACCACTTTCAAAACCTCAAAAATTTGTTTAAACGGAGTTATAAGCTTTTAAAGTTTCCAAATTTTGTCCGACTTCTCTTAGTGACTCGATCCACTGTGCGCCGCTCGTTGGAGCCAACTTTTACGAGGGCTCGCACCTGAAATTTTCGACTTGAAATGTGAATTTTTATGTTTATTTTATTCACTGAAAAAAAAAACTCCGGCCGTGAAAGACGCACTTACGGGCTATGTAGAAAACCGTCCGCGTTCCTGGCTTAGAGGCCGAAAGTTTCGATCGCAGCACCCGGAGCAGTCAAAGCTAGGCTCCAGCACTCGGAACTTTCGGCCTCTGAGCCCGGAACGGACGGTATGTCTATGAAGTAACTTTTTTTCTCAGTGTCGCAATATGTATTCTAATGAGCCAGGATGGCAAACGTTAGAGAAAACTTGGAAACGTTAGGGAATTTTTAAAGAAACCCTTGTAAGTGATGAAGAAGTCAGGGCATTTTGCTGGAGGTTAGGGAATTTTCCTGTCGTCAAATTATAAATTTTAAAGGGTTAAGGTAAAAAAGTCGGCAAAACCTGGAAAAGTCAGGGAATTTGAAAAAAAAAATCCGCAGAAAGTTTGAGAAAAATCACGGAATTTTGCCGGAGATAAGGGATTTTTTCTATTTGCAAAGGAGACCTTACACAAGGATTGATTTTAATTTCCAAGATTCGCTGAAACAATGCGTCCATGCGGCAACAGAAAGCTTACCCCTACGAGAGTATATTTGAAAGGGTAACTCAGGAAATTTTGCCAAAATTAGTCAGGATATGCTCAGATTTTGACTTCGAGTGACATTTTTGGCATTGGTTTCGCCGCGTAGCATAGTGTAAACCCGGCACCACTCTCACTTTATTACATACAGTTCGGGGCACATTTTAGTGGGTTTTTTTGTCTGTCAGGAAAGTTTGCCCAAATTGGTGAGAATTTATTTTGGGAAAGTCAAGGAATGTTGATTTTTAGTCTATTTTCCACCGTAAAAGCTTCTGCTTACTGCATAAACTTTTACGAGAAACGAATGGAGCCTTCCTCAAACCTCTCCGATTCGTATCGACTTAAGTATGATCGAGCTTTCTAAGCTTCCATGTCCAGCTTCCCCCACGGACTTACTCCACTGTGCGGCGCGTCCGTGCCCCATGCCCATGCTGTGGCCAGGAGATTGAAGGATCACTCGGTGCGGGGATGATGGTGATGGGTACTTTTAGTACCCCCCTTCTTCTTTCTCCCGTCTCCTCGCGCCACGGGGCGAGTCCAGGAGTCCCTCCACATGCCTGACCTACACCAATTTCCCACCCGGTTGTTTTCTCCACCTTGCGTGTGCGATTGGACCTCATTTTTATACACAGCTCGATTCCTGCCCTCTCACCTTTTCCCCACCCAGAACACCTTTTCGCCCCGCGAATTTCTCATATCTGAAAAACTTTGTTGAGAGCAGGGTGACATGTAGGTACGTGAAAAGCTAGTGAAAATCCGGAAAATTCAGGGAATTTTATGTTCAACTACCTTGGAAAGACATAGAATTTTGAAATCTGAGAAAACTTGTCACACTGTGAGAGATCATCAAATTCTGAGTGACAATTGGTGGATCCAGGAGAGGACTCATAGTGTAATGGCACCTTCTTTGGATTAAAAAATCAGGCGGGATAAAATGGCAAAGAGGAAAAGAACAATGAGTATCGTTTAAATGATAAACTGAATGCGCACAGCGATAGTTCTATACGGTGATATCTTTGTAATAATTGCAAAATTATATTTATTTTCTTTCTAGGTCAAAAACATCGCTCAATCGGACTATTTATGCTGAAAGGGACTATGTTCCACGCAAAATCCTGTGCACATAGTTTCATTTAGTATGAATAGTTCAATTGAGCTAATTTTGCAATATGAGAAGGCATCGTTGTGCTTCCCGAGCACTGTCACAAATTATGATGACAATGGCAGAATTTCCGGCGATCAGGGGAACCTGAAAAGTGAAGGAACTTACGGTGAAATCTGGAAAAGCCAGGGAACTCGTGAGAAAATCTCAGGAAATTTCGCTAAAAGCACATCGGCTCAGCAACTTCAGACGGTGCCAATCAAGACATAGCCTCCAAAAATTATATTACTCCCCCTTTTCTGAAAACCTCCAATTAACGTCTCTCTCTTGAAGCAACATTCTAAAATTTTGCAGTGATGTGATCATTTCTCCACCTAAAACTAATAATAGATTGGCTGTGCATGTATTGAAGCTTTAACGAACTTGAACTAATTCAAGGTTATTTTTTATGTTTCAGCTAAAATTATATTATTCTACGTTGTGTTCTACCTAGTATTAGCAGCTTTCTTCTCAGTGTTAATGTTTTTGTTCTTCCAAACAATCGACTATAATAAACCGAAATGGCAATTGGATCGCTCCCTCATCGGCACCAATCCAGGTAATTTCAACTCCTATTTTTACGCCATTTCGTGACTTTCACCATTAAGTTAAACTCAACGCCCCATCTTACGTTCGTTCGGTTTTTCAGAAAATTTAAATGTGTGGTGAACTCAAAGATAAACCAATGAACATCGTGAAATAATATAAAATTGGTGCTCATAATCTTATTTTGCTAATGAGAAAAATACTGAGCTCGAAAGCTGATGATTTTTTTACAGATTTTGTTTGGGTCATCTTTCCACAAAAAGGGTTATTTTACTAAATGATCTAATTGCTAATAGCACATATCGACGGTGAAACTACCAAACCACGCATCTCGGTTTGCGACGTCGCAGACTTCCTGTCATACTTTATTTTTTAAATGAAAAACTACTTAACGTTCAGTCTTGAAAATTTCTGTGATTTTTCCTCTTCGTGCGAAGAAAATTCTGTGAAAATTTCAAGGAATGATATTGATCTGGTCTACTTCAAAAAAATAAAGTGCGAGCGTAGATTTTTAAACACCGCAAACGAGATACGTGGTTTGGTAGTTTCACCGTCGATATGTATATGGATCGAAACATTTTCTGTCAAGTGAAGCCCTCTAAAAATGGAGGTACCTAATAGTTTCGTGGTAAATCTCGTAAAGTTTTTCTTAGTGTGTAGTCTGCAAGTATTACTGGTTAATAGTTACAAAGCATAGCTTGTAACTACAACCACGTAACAATTTGTTTTGGGTTATCTAATCTCAATCTATTAAGTATTAAAATAGATCTCGTTCTTTTCCTTACTGTTCCAATTTAGGCTAAATTAGGCAGGGTTTCGTTTGAAATGAATCTATACCTATTTTAAAACGTATTTAAACTCCTCAGAAGACAAAGTTTTGAATTCAAAAATATCAGAAAATCCGAAAGGGTCAAATCTTGTTTATCAATGGTTAATCGTTTCATTTTTTCGATAGAACCCCAGTTAATAAAGGGAGATAAACTTTATCAAGCGTCACTCCTAATCAATTAATGCATTGGAATGTTAGATAGGTAAAGCAAAAGCCATCGGTTCATTAGAGGTAATAAATTGATTGTATTTTGCTGTAAATACCCTGGTAAAAATTGGCGATAGGAGCTGCGTTTCAAAATACCGTAGGAGTTCTTATAGCCGACTAAAGAAGGCTATTAAAAATCATCTAGCTGGCTGTAGAAAGCGGAGCAAATCATATAGCCGGGCTATACGAAGCTATAAAAAAGTATACAGTCGGGCTATAGTTCCTATCGCCGGGCTTCACACTTTATCGCCATTGGCTATACAAGGCTACAAGAAATTGTGTAGAAATTCGTGTGCTTTGAAAATCATTAAGTTTGATACAGAACTACCTTTATATTTACAAAACACACATTATATTTTCCTTTAAAACATATTTTTTTTCATCAATTAAAATGAGAACAGTCCATACAGAGTGTGCAAACATTTCAAAATCATGAGTTGAAAAACGCTGACTCCGGGAGATTAAATATTAGAGCCTTACACAAAGCGGAGCGGCGACGGACTGGCGCCTACAAACCTAATAGGGATACTTCACGCATTGCGCAATGCGTGAAGTATCCCTGTTGGGTTTGTAGGCGCCAATGCGCGTTTCGCGCTCTCCGCCCACCCGCCGCGCCGCAGCGTGCCACGGCGTCTGAAGCAACTATTTCACACCAGAGGTATTGCACAGTATCATAAGAAATTGAAGGCGCTCCAACATATTAAGAATGACAGGCATCCTTTAAAAGTAGGGAGCTTTCCTCGCAAAATATATCAAGATACTACGGCACAAAAAGAGAGCGGCAGTCCAAAAACTCACCAAGTCCCAGTATCCGTATTTAGTAACGTTTAGCATGAACTTTATCGTCTCGCTGTTGATTAATCGCCATCGGCTATAAAAGGCTATAAGAAATTGTACAGCCGGCTACAGAAGCTATTGGAAATCTTACAGCTGGCATTAGGTCTATAGTATTTTGGAACACACATTCTACTGCCAATTTTTACCAGGGTATCTAAACAAATAGTTTAAGTATTGCTTGTTACACTCTTGTAAACCTTAAAATAAAAGAGGAGAAGAAAAACAACAACAGTAACCTAGCGTTCGAAGCTAAAAGTTTATCGTCCGAAGATTTCGCTTCTTACAACATTGCATCTGTCTCGTTTTATCTAGCTAAAATCATGCGTATGAGAAAAAAAAGCATCCGCAAGTTTAAGTAATCGTTCAAGAGAATTGGATCGCGTTAAGCAGAAAGGAACCAAGACACATCAGCTATTGCCAACTTTAATTGAGCAATTAAATTTTTTACGTGAAAACGGTTGTGCGGATTTTTGTGCAAATTTCAGTGAATTTTCCTCATGGTACGAAGCAAATTCCTCAAAACTTTCAAAGAAATCGCACACACGTTTCCTTTCAAAAAATCAATTCCTCAATTAAATTTGGCAACAGGTGATGTGTCTTGGTTCCTTTCTGCTAAGCGCGATCCAATTAAGATCAAACTGCACTTTGAACGGCTTCAAAATGAATTGTCAATGCTTTACTTTTCCAAAGTTTATCGGAAGAGCGAGGATCCATACACCCCCCTTCCCTTGAACTTTTTTCCACCCATTGATACTAGTGTTCCAATTTCCCGCCAATCTCCAGCAACTGTTTCGCTACGCCTGTGATGATATTGGCACAGTGTCAAGCCCACTCTGCAAGGGGTCCCTGGAACATGGACGAAAATATTGCCTCGCAATATTCCCTTCAGCATTGTAGCAGCGTGTAGGCACCCCTGCACATCGCTCTGTTGAAAATTGAGGAATGGCATTCGGTGCCGGAGTCTATACATGCCAAGTGAAATTAGCACCATAAGAGCGTATGGCACTCCTCGAAAGGATAGAATTCCGCTCCGTAATGGTGTAAGTTACTCCGTAATTAATTAAGGATAATAGAGGCAGCTCCGCATTCATTTTACTCGGAGTTTTTGGGCACTGTACAGACTCCGGCACAGAATTTTTCGCCAAAATTTTCATCAGTGCGTGGCAACTTACTTTGTAGGAATAGAACCGTTTTTGCGGTGCTGCCAGTAGGTAATGTTGCTCAGCATCGTTTTGCACCATTTGCATAGAAAAGTTACCGGTCAATTTTTCTGGCAATATTATCGAACTTCCTCGCAATAATGTAAAATCGAGTCAAATCTCATCCAATTTACGCTCCAATTGAAAAATTCAGGATACGTCTTCCAGTATTCTTCTTCAGTTGTCGTAACAGTTTCGCTGCAGTATTTACCTGAAATGTGGAGATACTCATCAGGAAAATGACACAAAGTTGACTCATGATCCTTGACTATCTTTTGCAATGTTGCTTGAAAAATTTGCAGGATGGGCAGCGCCGAGGTGATGCTGTTTTCTAACTTGGCACATAGGGTATTCGGGAAAGAAAATCTAGCGCAATTGATGATAAGAGGCTGGAAGGAAATGGTGTCCCGATAAAATGACACAACTTGAAACCGCAGCAATAATTTTATCCCATGACGTTTGTTTTTCAAAATATCGCTATCATAAGAGCGAAAAATCCTGACAGGAAGGGTGAGAAGCTTTCTCACAGAGTGACTTGCCGCACTATTAAAAATATTTGAATGACATTCTGTGCCGGAGTCTGTATAATGCCGAAAAACTCCGAGTGATATGAATGTGGAGCGGAGTCTATTCTCTCCACAGAGTGACTTACACCGGTACGGAGCGGGATTCACTCTTTTTGCGGAGTGTCACGTTTTTACGGTGCTAATTTCACATCGCATTCAGGGTTTTTGAACGCGATCTAAATGTAGGGCCGCAAGAGCTTCATACTTGGACATGTCCCTACTGTCCTCTAGTTACAGTTTCAGAAAAGCGGAGGAAAACTTGGCTGTAGCGGGGCGGGAAATGGCGGGAGGCGGCGATCGGTTGGGCGGGAGTGAATGAGATACCAGGAAAGAAGGACAGCAGGACACCGGATCGGATCGAAGTGCATTTAGAATTGATTAATGTGTTTCTGTGATATGAGGAAAAGCTTATAAGCTTAAGCGCTCACTTATAATTGGGTAACTGTGGCGCTGTGGCGCGGCGCGCGCGGCTGCCGGCCGGACGACTCGTGTGAGCCATGTGAACCAGTCCTCGATCAATGCCAAGCGAACGCCGGAACGCGGTTGCTAATGGGCGAATTTGCCCAAGTGACCTTTCGCCTCCTGCTTTTGTCCCTGCTCCCTGCCGTGTCCCTGCGATTCATCCAAGCTCCAGCCGGTGACGCGCCAGGTGTCACTCCAGGGCCGCCTTCTCCCGGTCTTCGGTCACTGATAACCAAGTTCCGGAGGCCCTTGTTTCCGCGCGAGGGGCCCCGAAAATACGCACTTGCACCGGGTCTTGAAATGGAGCCCTTGCATGGTGTCTAGGGCCGAAAATCATGAGAAATTAAGAATTTCAGTGAAAATTAGAGAAAAATCTGGGAATCCGTTCCAAAAACCACACTGATAAAAAAAACTCTGGCCGTAGAAGCCGTACTTACGGGTCAAATAGACATACCTTCCACGTTCCGGGCTCAGAAGCCGAAAATTCCGGATTTAGCACCCGGAGCAGTCGAAGCTACAGCTCCAGCACCCGGAATGTTGGGTCTCTAAGCCCGAAACTTTAGGCCTCTAAGCCCGGAATGTATGATATGTCTGTATAGCTCGTAACTTTTTAACAGTGCAGGAATCCCTTCCTCTATCGCTTAAAGACAATTTTGTTTTCAAATTTTACTGAAACTTTAAGTACTTGTTTTTACGTAGGCTTATGTAATTGCACCTAAGTCGCCAGTGTTGACCTCTTGAATGAACTTTTTTAATCTTCAAATCATCTTTACGTAAATAGAGAAGCTTTCATAGAGTGGATATATAAAAATCAGGAACGCTTTTGGAATTGTTAATTTGGATGTGCACCAAAGAATCGGCTAAAAGGTGAAGAATGAAAGATAAAGATGAAAATAATGTTCATATCTGAAATGCTGGAGAAATATATTTTTCTCCTAAGGAAATCCCTGGCGAACGAGAGAAAATTTCGGTTTCTTATCAGGGAATGAGCTCCCGAAAAACCGGGAATAAACAGGGGACGGATAAAGTTTGGTAGAGAGGAACCAACTTTTTCGACCATTTTCAAAAACGACAAACCTGCGGTAGATTTACCCTTTTCCATCAGGTGCGTTAGATTACATGGCGATCCATTTTATGAAAGTGTCAATTTTCTGAACTCATTTTTTGCTGAACTCAGTCCAAGTTTGATTGCGCGTATTTCATCATCTACGCGTTATCTAACGCGTCCGCTAGATAATATAAAATACGTGCGAGCGAATAATTTTAAATTTTAACCACGTATCTCTCTTGCAGTGTCTCAAAATTTCCACTCCTATTTTATTTTTTTGAAGATAAGTCAACTTTATGGCCTGAAATTTAAACAGAATACCCGGCGAATTGAGAAGAAAAATCGAGGAAGCTTTCAAGAAATCACGTCGAATAGTTTTCCAAATAGAAAACGACGTATGACAGAAAGTCTGCAACGTCACAAACGGAGATACGTGGTCTCGCTTTTTGGCTCAAGAGCAGATCGAGACTTGCACTTACTTGAACGAGCGCGAGTATACTCTCGAAAGTCGCCTTCAAGAAGATGAGTATGCAGTCCCGCACGACGGCTGTGTTCGAATAGTTATCGCTCGAATTCGAAGGCAGTTTGAAAATCGCCCGCTCCTCTTGGCTTCAGCGTATGTGTAAATCGAGTTCGCCATTCAACAGTCATACAATTTTAGATGTTTAACATATACTTAATGAAGAATTAAAAAGTAATTCGTCAGGTGAAACTTGGAAACGCTGCAATGCACTGAAACCCACTTGGCTTTCACCTCTTCAAATGTCTGACTTTCTGCCCCTAAAAGTTCCAAGTTTCATTTCTTTTTGAGACTCAAAATTTCAATTTTGATTTTCCAGCCAATCTGGCAAAACAATGTGATAATCACAATATCACCGGAAGTGTAGAGCTAACCTCGTATTTCATTGAATCAATTTAAAAAAAAAAAAGAAAAAAAAAAAAAAATAACAACAACATTAACGATAAGAAACATGATGCGTTGCGCACGTGGAGGCATTATTTCGCAATTTGCATGCAGTAAATTACCTCATAATCGTCAGCCCGATCTCTGCGTGGAGAATTTGACAGAAAACGGAGGTGGACTCTATTATTGTGCCTATGATTATTTATGGCTGAAATACCATACCATTTTAACTCGAACCTTGAGAGCTTTTTACTAGCGCGTGAGTTGATATTGAACAAGGTCAGTGTCTTTATCTCAAAATTTTGCAGTCGAATCATTTATTAAATTGCAAATTCGCCACCTTTAAAGAAACCGCATTGCGCGAGGATTATCTATACAATACAGACGCTTCATTTAGTATCTTTTTTTCTCTCTGTTTTTTTTTTTTTTTTTTTTTTTTTTTTTTTTTTTTTTTTTTTTTTAAAAAATAATGTTTACCAACCAATTAGCTTGAACTTTTCATTGAATTTCCTTTATATCTCATTTGGAGGAAATTCATTGAAACTTTCAAGCTATAGTCGGTCTCGCCATACTCTTGAAAACAAATTGTTCAATGAAAGGCAATACCTGGCATCAAGGTCGATTTTAAGAGTTTTTGGGTGTTCTTTGCGCCCAATGATGCAGAGTCAACCCTTCTCAAAGTAAGTTGTGGTATAGTTATCGGCGACCCCCCTCCCCCCTCCATCACCTCAAGGCAAATTTTACACGACTCACACATTTTTACGATGTAGGAATATTTGCTCCCAGTCGCAGTAACCTTCTTTCAATGCGGATCTTGCAGGCCCCAAAAATGATCTTTGCTGAGGTCTGGCTTTAATTAGCATCACCCGATGTTGTTTATTATGAAGTACCAGACTGCATTGCCGTGTGGTCGTAATTTGATCGTTAAGGGCGCGATGTGTCACTGGCGCGCGGCGCATTTCTGTTGAGGGAGCGAGCATCAACGCAAGGCTGTCTAATTGATGAGGGAAAATGTCAATTCTCCGGTGGCCACCACAAAAAATCAAATTAAGTCGGGAGAAATTTACAACACAGCTTTAGCGAGTGCTCTTCAGGGTGGTTTTCGTGAAGCCATCGAACAGCGCCGATTTGCGTTCTCCGGTAATAATAGGATTTTAAGGTCGCTGACAGCTCCACTCCCTCAGCCCTCACCCCTCATAGGTCCACCTTCAGGTTGAAACGGGATCGTTATACTGCCGTGCTAGGAAAAGCGCCGTGTGAACATTTAAATGTTCCGCGATTCCCCTCGATAGAATATTTATTTTTGACGAAAGTTGCGATTTATTATTTTTGAAATTTTCGGATACTTCGTTTTAATCTGCGAATAAAATAATGCGAAAAATGTGGGGGGAAAACATTCTCAAGTTTCTCAGAAAATTTGTGTTTTATCAAAAGAAATTTGGCAGCGCCTGAGAGATCATTCAACGATCTTCCTTGGTACAGTAGTAATTATGTAGTAAAGTCAATTTTAGCACTCCATGAATAGCGCATACATGTTTTACATTTTCGAGTACATCGTCGTCGTCGTCGTCGTCCCCCCCCCCTTCCCATTGGAAGAGCGATTTCAGCCTCAGTTTGGAGAGAGCTTTTTTTTATTTGAAGGTGAATAAAATCAGGGGAAAACTCAACAAAAATCTTTTTGAAACGATAATTATTGACTGAAGTTCAATCGAGAAGGAGCCAGCCTTCACCGCTAGGCGAAAAAAAATTGTGCGCACAATTTCCGCATCTTTCACTCGCTGTGCCTCAAACGATCTCTCAAAAAAAATCTATGATTTACTGTGTATTATGTAATCAACTATTTGTCTGGAGGATTTCCTTTTCTTACCCTTGTGTGGAAAAGTAAATTCCGTTTCAGATAAGTTTAACTTTTATTATATCTGTGCAGACACTCTTAGCTGCTAAGACTGTGCAAGCAGATGAAAAGGAAGACTTTCCTGAAATTGAGTCTACTCTTTAAAGTTTTTCCTCCACAACTTACAGTATCCTTCATCGCTCTCTCTTTCCTCCAAGCCCCAAACTTCAAATTCTAAATGGCTGAAATGTAACTTTTTTCTGTTTTGTTTTTCAGGGTTGGGCTTCAGGCCGACTCCTCCTGACACTCACATTGACAGTACTCTGATCTGGTACAAAAGACAAGCAAGCAACTATGCCTTGTGGGTCCAAAAGCTTGATGACTTCCTCCAAGGTAACCTTTTCATTCATAAGTTTTCTGGGATGAGGAATAATGGTAACAGAAGCATGACAGTACATCGTGTACGGTTCAATGCGAATATTCTTCCAGGGCACCTATCCTTCATGTTAAAGAGAGTTGCCAAATTCTGCAAAAGGGTGATTATCAGAAATGTTTGCACTTTTTGGCAACTTTTGGGGGGAATGTTCAAAATTAATTCAAGTCTGGATCTTACATCAAAAATTCTGTGACTACCGTCTATTTCAGGCAGCTTTTCTCAATAATTACAGACCAGGGCCGCTGGTTGATGTATCAGGAATAGTTTATACAAATTTAAATTTTGGTTTCCAGAATTTGGATATTGTTTATTTAAGATGATTTCTACTTAAATTTTGATGCTTGAATAATTAAAATTGGAGGTATCAACTTTTCATGTTATGCAGAAATGGGAAATTTGCCCTCCTCCTCTCTAATTATTTGAAGGAGTTGAATTTAGTAAAACACCTGAGCAAAGTTTGATTCTAAATTAAGGTAGGGCCAAAATCGTTGTTTTAAAAACATCTAGTAAAAGTGAATCAGCCTGCAGTCAGGCTATGTCTCATAAACTACCCTGAGTCTGACTGAATCAGTCTGACTCAGCCAGAAAAATGCCTGAAAATAGCCCGACGTCAGGCTGACTCACTTTTACTCGGAACCTCTTTGATTGGAATATTTGTGATAGTGGATTTCCAGACCTGGTCCTTCTGACATTGGAATACACCTTTTGAATTACAAGCCATCTGATTTTTATCTTTTTGTTTAGATTATAGAGAGCCTTCATTTCTCCCTGGTGGGGGTCAAAACATAATCCAATGCTCAGATGGAAACAAGCCCCCTCCCGGCAAAGTTTGTGCTGTCAACATTCATCAGCTCAATCCGTGCATTAAAGAAACAGGATATAATTATGATAAGGGATCACCTTGCATATTCCTAAAATTAAACAAGGTAAGTAGGTACCAGTTATTTATGAACCAGAAAGTGTTGAGCATTCAATAGCCAGTCAAAATGCAGTCACTACTTTTTCTCATTCCTGCAAAATAAAAGAAACTAATCATTACAAATGCATCATTGCAAATAGAAAGGTTTAGAGCATTGTTAAAAAAGCAGAAACATTTTTCCCCACATAACAGCTTGCGTTGTTGTATGGGCACCTGGAAATGCTCACCAAGAAAAAATGCATTTTAATTCTTGAATTATTTAAACCAGTAACATCAAATACAAAAATTTCAGTATCTCCTACCTGTAAATGAAACTTGTTTTAGTTAAAAATGAATCACAATTTTTGGAACTGCAACGTAGACGTAAAGCTTAGTTATAAAACTTGGGTTCTTGGAGGCTCTCTTCCAAGATAACTTGCCCAACTGCAGGCTTAAATAAAATAAAACTGTATTGTGCCTTTATTCCCCCTATTGAAAAAACATTTTATCACACAAAAATTTGATTATACCGTGGCTACATTCAATAGAAAGGAACCAAGTCGCATGAAGTTACATAAAAGAAAATGGGATTTAAAATTCTCTTCTTCCATGACACTTATTGTAAGAATGAATTTTGAATTCATTGGTGGAATGCAAAAAATTACCTATTAATGGGTTTTGATGCTCCGACTGGAGAATTGAGTGTGCCTGCTCAACTTTTACTCAGTTTTCTTGAAAATGTGACTTGTTTTCTTTTTGTTAAACTCATTAATTTATTGCTCATATTTTCAGTCTTGGATAAAAGTCAATAAATGTGAGAAAGAATACTGTGGTTTTTGTGTAATGGAAAATGTCAAGTATCTTGAAAAAAAGGTAAAATCTTAAAATCGATTCACACAGTTGAACTTTTTGTCCAACTTTTCCTCAGACTCCATTGAATTGAAATTTTTCTGTTTTAATTACACAGTGAAAATTTTCATCTGATACAGTTGGAAGAAAATTTGAATGAAAATTTGAACCGTGTGAGTTGGGCTTAAATGTAGCTACTTTGCTCTTGGTTGTGAAAATAGTAAATTTTCACCTTCCTTAAATATTTTTTTCTTGGCTGCATCTGCTAAATAATAATTGCTACCTATTTCACACTTGAGAATAGATTTCTATTCTAAATAGATCAGAAAATAGTAAGAATTATTGTTGAAATTTTTCCCTCTCAGTCTTGGGCCATGTCGAACACATCAAATACAACTCTTAATATTGTGATTTACGGGGGAAAAGGAAAATTTAGTTTGGTATATACATAAGTAAGTGTACCTCTTGTTTCTTGTAATTGAGACATTGTTCTCTTGTACCCTTCAGATTTATGGCTGGGAGCCCGCTTACTATAATGACACCAAAAACTTACCTGCCAAAATGCCTGCTGACCTGAAAAACTTCATCATTCAAGAGAAAAATAGAGAACCATACAAAAAGGTAAGTACTGTTCGTGATTTTTAAGAAAGGGTTCATGATATTAGCTTAATTAAAAGATACTTAAATATTTTTGAAAAACCTGCAAATGTAAACTGTTGGCAGTGAAGAATGTTTTTCAGCTCCTACAACTCCTAATTGGACAAATGTAAGGCATTAGATCTTTTTCCATTAAGTCATGGACTTAGTCCTCCTTGCCAGTACGTAAAAGTACAGCAGATGAGACACAAGTGCCCAATTCTCTCGTCGCACCACAGTTCTCCCAATTTTGGCAATATCACATTTCTAGTTTGTATTGTTTGTAGTTTTATTTGATTGAAATTTTATTTTGTTACTCTTGAGTGCCAAGTTTTGAAAATATACATTTGTGTGAGGCATGATACATAGGGCTTGAGTATTTTTTAAACTGACCCAAAACTTTCTTGGTTGGCAGATACTGAAGGTAAAACTGAATACTTTCCAGCAATTGAATCACTAAGCCCCCATTATTTATGCAAGTCAATCTATGTGATAAGTGGGCAAAACAGTTTTTATAGGCACTTATTGAAAAAAGCAACAAAGAAGTATTTCCATTCGTATAAGTAGGCCATGAGTGATTTTTGAGTACCCTAGTAGCAATGACCTTTAAAAAACATTTCTTCAAAAACTCTTGAAAAAACTGTTAACATGTTTGTATCAGAAAACCCTTTTTCGCCATTCTTTTAAGTATTTATGAGAAGTAAAATTTAAGGAAAAAAGTGTTAAAAAAAAACTCTTATAACATCACTGTCATTTTTTTTAACATTTTTAGTGTTGAAAAACTACAACTGATATTTCAAGAATTTTTTTTTAAACACTTTTTTACTTAAATTTAACGCTCGTAAATTTTACTCAAAAAAAAAAGCCAAAAAGGGTTTCCATGAGCATCTTCACAGATTTTTTAAGAGTTATCTTTATGAATTTAAAGAGTTTTTTAAAAGTTTTTTTTTAACAGTCGTTGCTACTATGGTATGTTAAAGACTGAAATGGTTTGCCTCTGTGTAATGAGTATTTTCTCTTTCTTTTATCTATTATAGCTAGAAACGGTGTGGGTTAGCTGTGAAGGTGAAAATCCTGCTGACATAGAAAATATTGGTCCTATCTCCTACCTCCCATCAAGAGGATTCCCAGGCTACTATTTCCCGTACATTAACACAGAGGGCTACCTCAGTCCTGTCATTGCCGTATGGTTCGAGTCTCCTGCTCGTAAGTATCAATATTTTAAAATTTGTTGAATAATATGTCATTAGATGTATACACTTTACAGAGAAATTGTAATTCTGATATCAAGGGTAGAACTGCAGGAATGCATATCTAGTTTGCGGTGTTTCAAAATCTCAGCTCTTATTTTATTTTAACAACGGAGAACAAGCAACAACGCCATTGCTTGAAATTTTCAAAGAATATTCTTCGCATAGAAAAGCAAAATCAGGGAAGTTTTTAATGAATAGCATTGATTGAATTTCCATTTAAATGATAAAGTACAACAGGAAGTCTGCAGCATTGCAATATACAAATTCCTGCAGTTTCAGTGTCCATGTGTCTCGATGGTCCTTAGGATGACCTCAAAAACTTATTTTTAAATGGGTACCCTATTATTTGGATTTTTGGAATAGGGAGGAACAGTTCGGAAGTGAGATTTTTAGTCCTCCGCGGAACCCTAAGCAGCTTCAAGGGTTAGTTCTCTGAAACTATGCCCACACCTAAATATTTTCATAGATAAGTTTCCCTCCTTTACAACTTATATGTAGTTTGAATTTCCCTTTGTAGCGGCTAGTATGTAGCCACCTAAAACCTGTCATTGCTCTAATCTACTTTTTATTGTTACAGGTGGAGTTTTGATAAACATAGAGTGCAAAGCATGGGCTCAAAATATTCATCATGATCGTCACGAGAGGCGAGGATCAGTTCATTTTGAATTGATGATAGATTAAATTCAGAAGCTAAGTGACATTGTACCGTTATCACTCTCAAAACTGAGCTGAGTTTGCTAATTTTCAGTCGCCTCCAATCCGACGCACAAAATGGGTAAAACGAACACTTCAACTCTCTCGTAATAAATTAAATTTACAGTTCATTAATTTGGAGTTTCTAAGATAAGTCATTTTAACTCCATTTTATTAGATGCTTTCTCAAATAGTGTTTCATATTTAACCATCTTGACAAACAAGTGAGAAAAGGGGAGCGTTTTTTTTTTAAAACCAGAACAAATTCATACAAATGTTGGGATTCAAAATTCAAAACTGTAATCACAGTTGAGTTGACCTCTTTGTGAGTGTTGAAAAGAGCCTAACAGTCATATTTTCTTGTCTTTTCTTTCCTCGTCTGTATTTATACAAATGAAACGAAAATAAGACCAATTTTTTTCAGTTGTGAAAATTTTAAAATTCAGAATGTCAAGAGATTAATTCTGAAATAAATCTTACGAAAGCTTATAATCATCAGCATTTCAGCTCATATATTTGCATTGCCAAAAAAAGGGGTACCTTAATAGATGTCAAAGGTTCAAAAAAGTCACTAGTTAAAATGTAATTTTTGACTGATCAATGTATCAAAGTTGGTTATGCACATTGAAGAAAAATCTTGGTGTTTTTGTTCATATTATGTCTGTGCCTAGCAGCTTTGATATTTTTAAAAAAATATCAAAATATAGTGCAGTTTACTATTTGCCGAAAACTAGACTGGTATGTTTATAGTTACTATGATAACTCTCATTTTCTAAAATGTGTGGACCTGGTTTTTTACCCTTCATTTGAAATCGATATTGAAAAACTCCCTCGCAAATGGCAAACTGGGTCCGTTAAATTTCCTTTCCTAGCGACTCAGTTACTGAAAGTTATCCTTAGTTCAGTCCTTTGAGAAGAAAATAGATCTCCTGTTGATAAAGTAACATACTTTGGATTAGCTTAGTTTTAACGGATGAATTGATTAATGACTTAATAATGAATTAATTAATTTAAATGGATGAATTAGTATTTAATTAATTGTTGCTTTTATTCCATTTTTATATTTTTATTGATTGATTGATTGATGGATTGATGGTTCATCAGTCTAAGATTTTAAAGGTGACCTCTGTCTGTGAATACTGTACAATTGTACATGTTGTAATCAAGTTCAACTTTCGTTGTGGAATCATTTCACTTTCTCTCTTTTTTTGTTCATTTTTGAGCAATGTGATTTGATATTTCAGCTGTTTTTCATCCACCATATTTAGGTAATTGATTGTTTTAGCAAGAAATTTTTTTCGTATGGGAATGTGGTTAAAAATCAGTAGTGTGAAAACTTGCATACGCTCTAAGGAGATATTGTGCATTTTTACTCTCACGGTTCATGCTATTTCGCTAAATTTATTGGTTTTTAGCCATTCTTTGTCCTGTTTATTTTATTTCTTACATTGTTACGTAATTTTTAAGTCTTGGTGAATTTTTGCAGCTCACAGTTTGTGGTCAAAATGATTTTTTACTGTATTATATAAAACTGTCTATGAATAAAACAAGGTAAAAACTGGTTCAATTTTTCTACCTTTGCTGAGACGCGTGTAGTGAAAATGGTATCAGTAAAATATGGCAAAGAAACTATTTAACCTTCTTTGATCGCGTGTGGTATTTCATGTAGAAATTATGAAAAAGGAGAGTATTTGGGTGTAGTAGACCACTATACAGCATAATGTAACGAAAGGCTTTAATAGCTGACCTTACAGACATTGACTGCCAAAATATTGCAGTTTCTCATGATAGCATGGCAAAACTCATTTGAAACTTACTCACCTCTTAAACAAAGTATTTCAGTTGAGAGTATTACCATTGGTCAAGCAGGGCATATTTTCAGTTGAAAAAACTTTAAAATTTTACTTCTCATGCTTATGTTTTTGAATAGCCTATGATTAAGGGAAAATGTTGCGTTGAGTTTCATCGAAATGCTTTATAAGCTTCTGACCAATATTTCAATAATCGTATGAAAAAATAAATCAGTTCTTTTAAAAAAGATTTCCCCAAGGTGCTGCATAACTTTTGCGAGAATAAATCAAAATAATTCCATACTGAGGAAGTACGTCTTTTTCAGTGCTCAATAACTTCATATTAGCCTGATAAAAAGTTCGACTTTTTTCAAGGCAGTACCAAAAAAAGTGGTGTACTTCATCAAAAAATTCATTGCTTTTCATTGATGAGAATTTATTCTTGTTATCCACCGCATACTTCAGCTTCTAATGGCAATTTTCCAGTTACATATTTTAATGATCTCAAGCATGGTTGGTTTCGAAAAATTCTCATTAAATGCAGATTTCAAAACTTTTTTGCGCTTCCAAATTTGTTTTCTTCTCTCTTTAAGTATCTAAGTCATTTTATTTATTAAAAAAAAATCTCAAAATGAAAGTTTTGAGCTCTACTCTGTGGCATATTTGAGTTGCTTGTTGAATGCTTTTCACCCTCTTTTTTTCACATCTTCTCTATCTTTGTCTCTCTTTCTCCTTTTTCATCACTTTTTATTCATTAATATTTTTCTCTAACCTCTCAAGCTTCTGATAGGTGAATAAGTCCACAAGAATTGAAGAACAAACACGATGAGTATGAAAAACTAAGTCGGGTTTTGCACCCACAACGAACTAGTCAAGTAGACTCAAGTTTTGTTTTTTGCAGGCATGAACAGGGTGCAGTGTATTCTTAAAAATATTTTACGGTGTGAGAATTTACCAAGGTTTTGGAATAAGATGCATGCTGCATGACATTTATCTTGCGTCATTTGTTGAGAGGTGATTTTTTGTCTACGTGTTTCTCGACTGTGCTCGGTAACTTTACAAATCAATGCAGTATTGCCTGAGGGGATTGTCCAGGATATTAAACCTATACTTTAGGCGGCGCCACAGCATAAAAACTCGGTGTACCATATATGTAGACTCTTGTTCCTTCTTGCTCAATAGTTAGGTAACCCTTTGCATAATATTCTGTAGGTTAGATTCTTTAATTTTAACTTTATGACCAATGAATCTTCATCTCAGTACCGGCTAATCTCTCTTGTCAAATCTAAGCTCTACCTTGATTTGCGCTTGCTAAATGAAATTGAGAACCGCAGGCAATTTTATCCGGCAAAATGACAAGCTCCCACAGAGGTTGGTCTTTTTTCAGTTCCACAGGGCTTTAAAACAATGTGCCAAGTTTCCAAATGGTCGCCGGTTCGTTAGCTAGAGAGCAAACAAAGGTATTCTCTGGGCAAATTCTCTCTTCATCCTTGCTACTCGCGTGTAAAATTTTTTTAAGCACCTCTTATCTCAGAAACTTTCTGCAATGCACCCAAACTGCTATTGTGCTTTTAAAACTAAAATAACAGTTGTCTTAGAAGTACAATTTATTAGCCATGAGTGGAGGCCGAAGTTCTTAATTTGGATTTAAAAAAAAACAATGTGATTCAATAATGAAGTAATTCACACATTGTTATTCAGACATCTCTTGGACTTGAATTTTTTTTAAAGAAAAGATTATCTAGCTCAATTTCGTGAAAACTTAATTTTTACCTGTGATGAGTCAGGTTCTTTTATGAATTTTTTGATTTTTCTCTCTTCTCCTTTCTTCTTTCCCTTGATGCAACAACAAGATCTTTTCAACATGAATTCGGAAGTATCCTCAAAAGTCAAAGTATATTCATAACATTTCATAGCTCAAGCTGTTTAATTCCATGTAGAACTTTTTGCAATTGGCAAGTTTATTCTTTTTAGTGAGTGTCCAGCTTAAACTTGTTGACATTATGAGCGTAATCGTTCTCCTTCTATTTTATTTTTGATGTTGATTTTAAGTTAAACCTTGATAGAAGAAATGATCTGCTTTAAAGTTCTGATTTCCCGGCAGCTCCTTATTTGTTTTTAGAGTTTGCATTATTTTCCGTTAGTCAATCTCTACTTCCCATGCTTATAATGATAAAAGAACAATCAATGTTTAGAAGAAACCACATGTTTTCCTTACCAAAATTAGGAGTGCAAAATAAGTTACAACTTGAAATCTTGTCGCAATTGCGACACCAGATTTTTTTGTTATATTTGTTAATATTTTAAAGATTTGGAAAGTCATCGATCAAATCAGCTGTTCTTGTATTGTTCTCACAACTAGTCATAGGGAAATTACACGTAGATAATTAAATAAAATTAAACATTATATTGATTTTAATCGTATTATCCATTCTAGACATAGACTCTATTAATCGCTTTGAAGCTGCCGCAATTTTAGTTTGTTTCCGTACCCTTGTTCTTTGTTCAACCATCCTATTAGTAGTCCATCCTTGTTTCCTTTTTGACCGTAATATTTTTTCATTATTTTAAGTGTATAATTAAAGTAATTTCTTAGAAAAATGATAAAAGGCCCAGTTTCCTCTCTCATTTAAAATTCTTGTTACTTGTGCTTGGCCTACGAGTCTGTTAAATGTTTAGTTCACTTAATTCATTGGTTCCTGAATCAAAATTGAGTCCAGTTACAATTGTAACCTGTTTAAATATCCTTTTTGCCTTGAAATGACCTACGTAATTATAACAGGCCTCTGTTCTCTCTTTTTTGTCTATCCTTATCCTTTTATTTATTTTCCTCTTTTTTTAAAATGTATTTAGTATTACATTTTCTATTGTGACATTTTATTTTATTGATTTTTCCTAAAATAACCAGGAAGGTTGTAGCCGGAAGAAAAAGGAAAAGTAAACAGACAGTCTACTTCAAAATTTCATTTTTCATTTTTGTCAGTTATGAATCTGTATAAACTGTTGTAACAAAAATAAAAAAATGATGACCACATATTTTGAATGGTTCTTTATTAATTCCATATGTTGGAGCAAATCAATGGAATCATCCGTTTCAAAAAATAGTTCCTAGGTGCACAGAGAAATAGCTCAAGGTATGACAGCCTGCCCCCTCAAATTTTGGAATTAGTACCTTGTGCTAAATCATCCAATCAGAGATGAATGTACAAGTGAACGCATTTCGAAGAAAGTTATGGGTTCTTTTTTGGGTGAAATTTGTCTAGTCAAAATTTTACTTTAAGTAAATAAACTGGACTTGATTGTAAATACCTACCATTAATTTTAAACGTGACTTATAGGATGCTCAGTTTTCTAAAATATTCAGAAGTTTTCTCTCTTTTAAGAAATAAGTGAAGGAAGGTCGGTAATAAATCATTTTTTCAAAATAATTCTTACGTAAAAAACTGTACTGCTCTTTAAGTATTGCATTCTAAAAAGTATTGTGAAATACATCCCTCTGATAAAACATTATATTTTGAGGACATTCAGGAATCTGTCTGAAATTGACAGAATCGTTAGATTAAATTGTGCAGAACTTTAAAAATTGGAAATAAATGCTTCCAAATTTTCCAAGAAATTCATATTTAATCGAAGGAAATTTGGCAACGCTCGAGTGTTCATACGACGTTTTTCTCATCAGCAATGATAATTGAGCATGACCATGATATCGGTAATAACACCTTGACGCAACTATTCGTTCTCTGACCTTCCGTGTTGCGTATTAGACATTGAAGGCGCTTCGGTCATTAAAGCCAATGCAGCATTCTAGCGCAGTGTGCTCGCTGTCCCAAATCGGTATGACGGTGAGATATAGTATCCTGATACGCAAACGGTGCAAAAAATATCCTATCCTGTCCTCTTGCCTTAGTTTTCATCATAGAATTTCATCTTGTCACTTACTCGTAAGTCATAACACTGCGCAAAAGGCTGCAAAGTAGAGTGACCGAAGTGCCTTCCATTTTTCGATATGCAACACGCGTGTCCATAGAGCACGAATAGTTGTTTCGGTCAAGGCGGTAACAACCGTCGTACTTGTTTTACTCTTCCTGAGAGAGCGTTGTTTGAACAATTGAAATACAAAATGTTAATGTTGAAAAATTGAAAATCGGAACTACGACTTATTTTGGGAGAGGGAGGAGGGGGTCAGGAATTTCGGGCCAATCAATATTTGCTCTTGAAATTTTCAGCGAGTTCCCCAAAAAAAAATTTCGAAAAATATTTTCGATCAAATTATTAGAAACACGTTCACTAGTTTTTCAGAAAACGCGAATTTTATCAAAGCTAGCCAGAAAAGAAGATGCGATTATGTCCGGTCCGGGAGGCAAAATAAAATACACGGCAAAACGGCAACAGCGTGGATAGAATTGTATTCAGCCTACGTACATCAATAAACATAACCAATCACGGAACATACTTTCAGTGACGTTAACAAGATGGCCTCCTCAGCTGAGTAATCTGTTGTCTATGGTTGTCTGTTGTTATTGTTCTGATTTTATTGTCTTCTTCGTCTTATCTCTTGCGTTACGATTAGTCATTCAATCATATCATTGCTACGATTTCTGGATCCAAAGTCGAGGAAGCCTTTTTAATTTTCAGACAGTTTGTGATTTTCCTTCGTGGAGAGGGAGTCGACGTCCGGTGGTTTCTCGATAACTTTTCATCAGTGGTGAATTGCAGGTTTCACAATGCAGCTCAAAGCTTCAGCCCTCCTTCTTTTCATCTCCTTATGTCGTTGCAGTGGTAAGTAGGCCCTTGATAAATGTTTGATAAGCCGTTCTTTTGTCCTGCAGGGGTTGTCTGCCGTCTCGTCTGGAGACTCAGGTCGAAGGACCTTCATGTACATTTAAACTATTTGAGTACTTTCAGAGGATTTTGCCACTCAAGCTCAATGCAGATTTTGATCCTAGGTCCTCTTATCAACTTAAGTTTTAATGCAGTATTCGCTCTTTGTCCTCATGGGTTCGGATGAGTTTTCGGAATGAGTTCTCAGATAAGAATGAGCAGGAACGTCTTATCAAGGAGGGTACCTTTTCAAAATTAAAACGGCTGCTAATCAAAAGGAGGTGCCCTAGCCTATGTCTCCGCTTTTGACTTGTCTGACAGTCAATTGGAGCGCATTAAACAGAAAGGAACCAAGCCACATCAGCTGTTGCCAAATTTAATCGGACAAGTTAATTTTTTTCATGAAAACGGTTGTGCGGGACGTCGTGCAAATTTCAGTGAAAATTCTCCATAGTTTGTAGTAAATTCCTTAAAAATTTCAAAGGAATCCGCACGAACGATCTCTCGTAAAAAATTAAATTGCCCAGTTAAATTTGGCAATAGCTGATGTGGCTTGGTTCCTTTCTGCTTAACACGGTCCAATTAGAAATTCATTTCTACAATGCCTAGCATGTTTCGGCGACCGGGAGTAGTCTTTCTGTCATTTCAATTTCATGCTGCGCTTTCGAATGCAGTCTGTAAGATTGTCCATCATTATGACACAGATAATGTTTGTGTAGCTGAAGGGTTGCCATCTCTGTTTAGGTAGATACTTCTCCTCCTAATCTTCTCAAGAACCAAGGAAAGCATCAAATTAGGTAAAGAAGATGTTACTGTTCCAACCCTTGCCAAGCTGAAGGGGTCCAATGTTTCCACTCAGAGCTATTTTTTTTATCTTTGTTTTCTCCGATTTTGCTTTGTTTTTCACAATCAGTCGCTGAAGCAACTCTTGTACTTCATGCATTCAAGTGTAAGCTCTATTCCCTGTGGGTATTTTCTTTGCATTCAAGATTGAGATTGTCTTGGGGGGCGATGAAGTGGCCCAGGTCGGGCAAGGTTTTCATGACTCTTTTCTCTGTAAAAGCCTTCTTGCCAGGATCAGCTCTGATTTCAAAGCAACCTCAATGAGTTAATTCAATTCAGCCGACCATTTGAGTCAGAAAATCCATGGTTTTTGCTTTCATTAATAATTATTCTTTTTTAACTGACATCAATTTGTGTGTATTTTTGCAGAGCTTAATAGCGTAACAAAAGGAACAAGCAATAAGGAAACAGTGGTTGACCACAAGGGAGAATTGGCATCGACAGAGAAACCACACATATCTGAGAGTTTTGTACTGCCTAAGTCACCAAAAAAGGGAGCCGTTAGTTCAGTTGACCCTATTACAATCGTAGTTCCTACCACTGATTCAGCCCCAACAGCTCCCTCTTCTCCATCAACTCCCCCAACTTCTCATACTTCTCCCTCGTCTCCTCACACGCCTAAAACTCCCACTACCCCTGCAACGCCTGAAACTCCAACTACCCCTGTAACGCCTAAACCCCCCACTACCCCCGCAACGCCTAAAACCCCCACCGCCCCCTCTCCTACTCCCAACCCCACTGCCCCCTCAACTCCTCACACTTCACCTGCTACAACAACAGTGGCCCCAACATCGGCACCAATTGTTGATGAAGTCGGAGACTGGAAAGTAAATTACACAACCTCTTCAATTTGTACGCGTCTGGTTGGAAGTATCAAGTTGACTTTTGGCCTTAAAAAGCCCAATGTAAGTTTTCTGTCTTTTTTTCTTGGTGCTTTTATCCACAAACTTTTCGAAAATTTCAAACGATTAGAATACTTAAACCAAAACTAAAGTGATTCTGATTCTTTCAACATGAATTAAAAAACTAAACCTTGTAAGTAGTTACTTCTCAAAAAGTAAGGGGAAAATCATATAATCTCTCTTATTTATTCGAAATTAATCCTTTGCTCAATTGATAAAAAAGAAAAAGTGAGAAAGTTGGCCAATGGAAATATGGGTTTAGTTCTCTCTGTGTAACGCTTGCATCTGCTTTTTTTAATTATAACTTGACCTACCTTGGTTTTTAATTTGTTTCACTGAAAAATGGTGAAAGAGGTTTGAAACTGTGCACAAACATTCTTCAAGGTTCAAGAATTTTAAAGAAATGTTATCTGTGAAAATGGTGACATTGATGCCCTCCATTCGTACAGATATGGCCGCAGTTTCAGTTTTTTTAACTTAGCTCCCAACATGGTGCATAATTGATCTGCAAATTATTGAATCAATTTGAAGAGGATGACCTGACGCAAATTTATATTTTACAGGCAACAGAAGAGGTGGAGGTAATAGCTGTTCCAAAGAATGCAGTTGCCAGCGGAAATTGCACTGTAGGCAGCTTGAACTTAACCTGGCCCTCAAATTTATCTGCCAATTCAACAAAGAAAAATGACACAGTCATATTCACGTTTAAGGCTGACGAGAAAGCTCAGACCTGGAAGTTAGACAGTATTCAAGGGGAAGTCATCACCAAGACTAAAGAAAAAATTCGTAAGTAGTTTTTAACTCTTTTCTTTCTTTCTTTTGCCCGCTTTTAGAACCCTTTCTGCAAGACAATCATACTACCAAAACCCCAAATGGATGCTGCCCATAATATAATCTGATTCTGTTGTAAGAAAACTCTGTTGTTAGGTGTCGGTGTGTAGGTTTCAAGTAAAAGCACTCAGTGATGAGTTTGTTGGGGAAGAGCCTTGTAAAAAAAGGCTTGTCCTTGCGCCCTTGAATTTGGGGCTTGCAAGGGTTTTTTTTTTAATCCCTAGAATGAGGCCTTACTCATGATAATATTTTAGATCAAGTGGACAACTGTTTTTGAGATTGGGGGAAGCCCCTGATTTTCACTCATTTCTACAAGTTTTCTAATGGCGAATTCTGACTGTGTACTGTGTTGTCTAACCTAATTTAGATATTAAAGTGCAACTTGCAATGATTTTTCAGGTTTCTTTGGTGTGTTGGGCCCCTAGACAAGGTATGGATTAAATTTATTTTGTCAAAATGGTTAAATTTTGTTTTCCTCTTCTTTCAGATTTCCACACAAATGCCACTTCAGTTGTTACGACTCACAAAGGCACATCATATTTCTGCTCGAAAGTCAACAGTTTCAGTTTGAATTTCAGTCCAAAGAATCTTACCGGCTCAAATGTCACCTCAGCAACTCTCAACGTTGCTCAGTTGCAAGTAGAAGCTTTCAAAGCTCAGAAACCCAACAACCTCGCCTTCAGTCCTGGTGAGTTTCTTCCTGTGAATGTGCATAGTAAAAATATAGTCTTGGGTGTTTCAGAATTCAAAGTTTTGAGTTCCCTGAAAATTCTTTTATTCAGCTTCACAGTTCTCATGCAAGGCTGTAGTATACAGAGTTACTCAGTCTATAGATCCTGCTAAGTCCAATATGTTGGAGAAGATACTGACACATCAAGGAACCATGTCTGTTCACCCTTTAATAAGAGATGACATTCCAACTAATTCAAATCTGTTAATAATTGACCGCATTTCTTTTTCTACACATTTTAGATATTTGGCAAACTGAACTTCATTTTTCACTTAATATTGAAACTGTTGTGGATGTTTTTCAAAGAATGTCATGCATTGTTTTGAATTGCTCCAAAATCACAACGAGCACATTGTCAAAGTAAAAATTATTGCTTACCTCACAATTTGAACCATTTATTGAGCTTTCTGGTTTAGAATAATCAAAGTTTCTACAGTGCCATACCACAATTTTTGGCCTTTTGGCCTTTAATAGCTGCCAAAAATGCTCTTCCTTTTCCAATTATTTTTCCCTGGACCCTTAAATAGGATTTGTATAAAATTTGATTCCTCATAGTCTACACCCTTGTCCAATGTATAGTTTTTGGTACCGATATTCCATCATGTGACAATGTAACAGAGTTCAGATTGCAATTATCTAATCCATTAAGTACAAGTTGTAAAATGTTACAGGCACTCTGAACTCACATAAATCAGCCCATGACCATGTGAAGCAACAAACCTTCGTGTTTATTTTATTTTATTATTACTATTATTTATTTATTTCATGGTTTTGCATTATTTTTTAATTTGCCTTTTTCTATACTTTTTCAGCCACGAATTGTGAACTCACTCCCGATATAGTACCAATTGTTGTTGGATGTGCCCTGGCTGCTTTGGTGGTTGCTGTTCTAATTGCTTACGTGATCGCTCAACGTAGACCATTTGCTCAAGGCTACCGAAGTGTTTAAAAAACCATGTTTTACAACCAAAAACGTTTTTATGTCTGAAATACTTGAGTCTGATGTTAACTATCATCCCCGCCCCAACTCTTGAACTGTGATAAGCACCTTTACGATTCCTCTCTCTCGGCATTCAATTTTTCTAAAGCTCTCCAAAGCGGTTTTATTTTTTATTAGGTGTGTCATGGTAAAATGGCTCTTGCAATACTCCAAGTTGCATTAGTATAATCGGTTAGTCAATCATTGCATTTTGCATGATTATTCTGTGGTATTCAATAACGTACAAAACTTGATTCATCAATGGATTTCTCTCTTTTTTTACTCTCTCCAGTTCATGAATCTCTAGTTCTTTTCCCTTCAATTTTTGTGTAGGAACCCCCTTTTGAAACACAAATAAGCAATAATATTCAGATACTATTTCATCTTTTTTTTTGCAACTTACTCTCCTAAATGTCTCGGTCAAGTCAGAGATAGTTTAATGATTTCAATTGAAAAAATTAAAATTCTAAAAATAAAATATGAAGCTTTTTTTAAGGATTGAAAAATTTCTAGGCACATAATGACACTTGGAAGGGATTGCGTAAGTTTTTCAGTGTACAAGAATGTTGATGAGCCTTTATCTGAAAAATCTCTGGAGAACTTCGTCAGATTTAAAAATATGGAAAAATTAAGGTCTCATCAATGAAGACAGAATCTGTCCTTCAGAGAATAAGAGAAAGTAAATCTACGATATGAAAGTACAAAATTTATCAGAACTACCAGGAGATTTTAGAATTAAGATACTGTTTTAAAAAAAATTTGACCGGAAAACTTACACAATATCTCTGATGTGCCGTGTTGTGCCAAGGATGTTTTTGAATACCTAAAATGGGGAGAACTTGACCGAAATAACATTGTTGAATTTGTGTTTAGTGTTTTGGTCTGATTCCGAGTAATTTTTTGTTATTTTTTTACTTCAAAATCCAGTTTTCCCATCAGTGTGATGAAATTAATGTGTAAATCATAAAATTTGTTTTGATCATAAGTTCAATGTGTTAAATAATGTACTTTTTCCCCCTATACTTTACTTTATTTTTTTATTTTATTACAAGTGCATACATAGTCTGATATTTCACGCAAGATGAAAAAGAAGTGAATGGTAAAGGGATAGTAATGGAAGAAATAGGTAGGAAATAGGAAGTGTTACCATTGATTGTAAGTCAAATCTCTTTTATAAATTTAAGTGTTCAAGGTTGGAGTATTTTGACAGTATTTATAAAGACATCTGTTTTCAGTCTCCCGCAAGGTCTGTAATTTTGTTTTGTAAGACTACGGTCTAAATATGGTTTAAAACAGCATTCAAATCTTCCTTGACCATTCTTTATTTTTCAACGTATTTCGTCAAATGTAGACAGTCGAATTAAGTGTTTGTCTGGTATCAGATTTGCTTGGCATCCCTTTAACTATAATTTTACATAAGATGGACGGGTGACATTTATTATATTCCCACGTGGTTAATTATAGCAGTATGAGTAATTTTTCTGGAACTAAGGTCACATTGATAGTAGGTCTGCATCATTGGCCCCTCTAATGTATTCATCCAGTTATAATTGAACGAAGGAAATTTTTTCAGTGAGATTGTGAATGGCTCTTAAGTCAAATTAAAGCCAAATTGTTGATGCTGTAACGGCTATTGTAGCAAAAAAGTGGCTCATACAAGAATGGATGTCTTAATTGCCTCGTTGGATTTTTGCCATTTTTGAGGCCGCGATTCTCTTAAGCGAAAGACGCTAACTGTCCCTTCAAAGTCAAGTTGAAAGGCCGTTTAAATTCAAAAGTATGAAAAGGGTACCTTACCTTTGAACCGAATGAGTCTCTCCATCGATCTACACCATTCAATGCCTTTCAAATCTCTAATGACTGAAGAGTCAAACGGTTTTGACACTCTCAGTAATAAACTTTTGAATTTTAAGAAAGGGAAGCTATTCTCAATTTGGAGTTCAGAGGATTAGTTTCTCTCAAAAAGCAGAACAACAGGCCCCAAAACTGACAAAGAATCAATGTAGGAAATAAAGTCGTCCCATGAAATTCTTTCGACTTCACAATTGTAAATCGTACTAAAGACATTATATTGTCCATCAGTGCCTTTATTTGTCTTGTTAGACCAGTTTTTACTCTAAGGCATTAATTTTTCGATATTTACCCCTCTTTAATCATATTTTGCTTCCTTCTTTTTTACAGTTTTTTTTTCTCTCCCTTTATATTTCTATCGCAGGTACTCTTTTAAATGTTAAGTTTTACCATCAATTATTTTTTGAAAACTAAGAATAATTTGTCTTCGTCCAAAATTTCTAAAACAAGAATAGACTCATGTCTTCATTTGAACGGAAGGATTGAAGTAAAGAAGATACCTGCTTTCTATAGTTGAAATTATTTTGATTGATCGTATTTTATCATTTTATATGTGCCCATGTATGTTATCCTTAGTATTAGTGTCCTCAAATTTTTTCAACCACTGTTTCCCCTTTCATGTTTGAATTAAGACAATTATCAAGAATATTTTGTGATATTATACCTAAAAATCAATTAAACAATAAATCTATCTAGTTATTATTTCATATCTGAATTATAATTTTCATCAATCACCTTTCAAAGAAATCATTTTATTTTGCTGTGACAGAATTTAAGTTTGAGGAAGCCCATTGAGCAGTGGCAAAGCGAGATTCAAGGGCTACCGATATTTTCTCTTTTCAACTCATGATAAAAAATTGATTATGAAGGTGTGCCTTGCAAACACAGTGACAATCTATCTTTTTCCATTGGTTCAAATGACAAATCAATTATATTGCAGCGCACGACACGTCACTGACTGTAAAATACACTCAGTGATCTCAATTCTAAGAGTAGGACAGAAACCATTACAACTTCAGCTGGCAATATTTATAAAAATGGTATGCTTTGATGTACTGAGATATCTAGATAAGAGCTTCACTCTTAATCTTAATTACCCGCTTCTGTCTCTCGTTATTTTTTGATAAAACGTTCCTTTTTATCGGATTGATCTTTTGATTCTTGCCAAGAGCTTGAGCTCGGTGAGAACGGGGATTCTGGCCAGGAGCCTCGGCCTGGTTGGAACTCTCTCTCATTTCTGGACTCTGGACTTACGATTTTTGGAACATGGAACCCCGGACAACTTTGGTGACTCGTCAAAAGACTTTTCTTTCTCTCTCTGAAATCTTCTCCATTTTTAGACCATTTTAACATTTTAATTTCGCTAATATTTTCAATGTTTTATCTTTTTCAACATTCTTAAAATTTTCAATCAATAAATTTGTAAGACGCCAGACTTCTTTGTCATTCTTAACTTGAAATAATCCCGATCGTAAAAAGCGTAAAAAGCCTGAATTTTTAAATTTTTATTTTTTGATCAGTTTGCTAATGTGCTCTCCCACACTATTTTAGCAGGTATAATTGTCCAAATACTTGGATTTTCACTTTAAGGGTGAATTTCAGAGTATTTCGTCAATTATATCTCACAACCGCTCCTCCAGTGATAATACTTGATTCCATGTAAGAGTATAAGTCGTAAAGTTTTAAAATTACGCCTTATATGGAATTGGGTTTTTCTCTGAAGGAAGGACGACCATCCCAGTGAATCTTCTGCTCAATTTCTCCATTGTAAAACGGTGGTCGTTGCAGTACTCAAAGAAGGTAATCTCTGATATCAAGTAAAGAGCTAAGATTTCTTTTTTGAATAATACATGTGTGACAAAATTTCAAAGTTAGCAGACTGATGTTGCTGAGGACCTTGGCAGACCGATTCTTAACCCTCTGTAGCATAACGTTGCGAATTAGTAACAACGTATTTTTTGGGTTTTTAAAAATTGAATCTTTCTTCTATGGCATGATTTGGCAAATTTTCATTAGTTTTTTCTTTTCTTGAATAACGGTTTCCCAAACATTAAAAATTTTGAAAAAACATGTCATGCCATATGCTTTTTATGCAAGCTACAAAAGAGATTAGTGTCCCCCAAAATCTGAGCTCCAAAATTAATTCGTGCCATATCATATATGCATGTGGACGCTGAATCACATTCCATTCGCCAGTTGAGGGAAATCGTTAATTTTTGTCCGTCTTACTTTCCCGGCCATTGTGGAAATATAAGCTTCAGTCAATCACTGATATGATGTTGCAATATTTCATCAAAAATGCTGGGTAAAATCACGAAAAATTTCACTTTTCAGGTCCATCTCTCATTTTTAATTGTCACATTGAAAGTTTCATTCTAAAAGCTCGGAAAGGAACATGATATTAAGTTATCTAGGTAATGAGCCGGCGCCAAATTTCTAGGTAGGTATTCCATGTGTAGTCCTTTTGGGTTTTGGAATCAATGTCTCTGAAGTTACTTAATTTGCTTAAATAATTGAGGGGCTTGAAGGGCAAGGAGCATAAGAGCAGTTTTTGCTAACTCAAGAAATATATGTTTAGATTTTTAAATTTACACGGAGCCTCATGACGAAAAAGAAGGTTAAACTCTTTTTTAGATGATTAAAAATTGGATTTTAGGAGTAAATTTTTCATGGCATACATTTTGAGACTAGTATTAGTTGAAATCATTAGGTATGTATAATTCAATTCTTACAATTACTGCACCTATGCGCCTGGTCCTCCAAGTCCCTCAATTTAAAAAAAAAAAAAATCATTGAAGAGAAAAAGAGGTGGGACAGGAAAGAGCTTATAAGACTCAAAACGTACCTAGCTATTATGTATGAGACAGTTTAGGAAAAAATGGAAAAGAACAAAAGCGTAGTTAATTAGATCTTTTTTTATTATTTTCTTTCATTTAAAAAATATAGTTAGGAAACTTGCAAACACAGAAATATAAAATCATGAGGTTCATAGGAATTAAATGTTTTTAATAGACTTTGCTGTCATTTTAAAATTACATGAAAATGAACATCTTTTGGGATACTTTGTTAGCACTTACTTCAAGTTGAAACATAGATTTGAGTTTTTTTCTTATCCACAGATCTTGAAGAAAAGCAAGACGAGCTATAAAATTGCTTTCAAGAAATTTTTCTAAGTTCCACAGAGTCAGTGCCATAATTTTAGAGATGTTCCATTTAGTCAGTTAGACTTACAATTAGGTCAAAATCGCTCTCACAATCAGCATGGAGTGAATGAAAATGAGCTACTCATTAATTCCATGAACGACGAGTTCCTTCGAAGAGGCATGTTAAAAACGTATTAAAAAACTCTAGAAATTCGAAATTAAAAGTCTCAAAAATAAATTGTCTATTCATGAATGCTCAAATTCAATTTTTTGGGACGAATTTTTTTTAAAATTTAACAAGAAAGGATTTAATCAATAAATCATGGGAATGTCCAGGAATCTGATCAAGCAATCACTGCGGTCAAATAATTAGGTAAAAAAAGGTCCCTTGAAATATTTTAAATGCGAAGGACCAAAATTATTGAGCACTGTGAAAAGCTGTTGGGAATGTTATTTGTTACTTACTAATCCTGAACACAAGCTTCGGAATAAATACTCTCAAAATTCAACAATAGATGAAAATTTTTCAGTTATGGACGGGTTTATCTAAAAACATATGATGATTTACTGAACATCACACTGAAAAGTATTAGGTCTATTTACGGCTCCCAAAAGTTTTGGTCAATCGTTGAAAAACTTCATTTTGGAGCCACCAGGATAAAATTATTTACAGTCTTCTTCGAAGAGAGAATTTGTTTCGTTATTTTTTGTATTTCGCAGCAATTTTGCTCCATTCTGCTGGGTAGTTGCTCTTCATAAATGTGATCAGCCGCTTGGCATTGGCAGCTTGTTGACTGGTGCAACCCTTGCAATTTTTATTTAACACCTCGGGAATTGCAACTGCATAACAAAAGAAAAACATTTTTTAGTTCAACTTAAAAGAGAGGATAAGAAATCTAGTAAGAAATCATGTCCAGGGGGGGGGGGCAGCCCCCCCGCAAGGCTAATGCAACCCCTCCCCCTCAGAAAAGTTAGGAAATATGAGAGGAAGATTGAAGAAGTTCTTTTTGCAATAGAATCGCGATTTCATCAACGGTGATTTATCGCAATATTATCAAATAAAAAATCGGGATAAAATAAGATAAAATTTAGAGGTACGTAAAGGTAAAAGGTACGTTAGAGGTAAAAAAAAAACCCGATTTTGTAGAGGTAAAATTGTGACAAGATCGAGGACAATCGCTCAGATGTTAGTGAACCTAGCGATTTTCTCGCCAAAAAATCGCAACTTAATTTAAAAATATCGCGATTTTGCCGTTGAAAAATGCTAAGTACTTGGGTCGTTCAATTCAGATTTGAAGTTTCAACTCCAAGTCTCTTGACCTTTTCCAGGCTCTCCGAGATTGAATAAAACTCTTTTAGTTTTCCTACTTTTCCCAGTGTTTCCCTGGCGATGAATCGTAACTCCCTTCTACAGCTGAAAAATTGAATTGAGTTAGTATTCAATTTTGTAAGAGAATGCGACTTGAATTTTTTATGAAAATACCAATTTGACGAGTAGGTAATCAGAGGAGCGACGAGTGAAATTTTCAGTTAAAAACGCCGATTGGTTTTCTCGCAGAAATAAAATTTTAGAAAGGAAATTTTGCATCGTCTAAATGAAGTCACGGTCTTTCGTCTGAAAAATCGACGTAATCAAAATAGGCACTGACTGGGAAAATCCTAGTCGGATCTTGATAAGATTTTCAGTGCAACTCTGGTGACCAATATGCTTTTAGTTTTAGAAATAACTTTTTCGGAATGGTTCGTTGAGTGATTCCTAAAAAAATTTAAAGGCGCATTTTATGAAAAATTCTAAAAATATTTATCAGCGCGGTGTAGCGCAAGCGGCTTTGCGCTGAAGGAAGATCTATACATTGATCTGCATTTTGCAATTGGGAACTTCAATTTCTGACTCATTCATAAAAGCACGTATGCTTATAGGAAAACTAACGGTACAAACGTTGTTTCTTAGCTGAGCCAGAGATTGTCGTTCCTAATTGCAAAATGCAGTAAAATGCAGGAACATTCCTGAACTTCCAAACTTTGAAATTAGGTACAAACTTCAAAATATTTCAAGACAAGACGCACGATTAGCGGAAATTCTAAGGATCTCCTCATGCCAGCGATAGTGCCAGCTCCCCTGCTCCCCACTATACATTGGGAAGAAAGAAGTTCGGTGAAAAATACGAAACTTCGATTCACATTGAACACCGAAACTATCCAGTTAAAGTAACCGAAGTTTATAGTCATGGGAATACGCAAGTTCGGTTTTTGTGACCGGAAACTTCGGTCCTCTGAACCAAAAAAGTGCAACAAGCCAAACCACGTATCTCCATTTTGGCGTTTCATAATTTCCGCTCCGATTCTATTCCCTCGTAGAGAAACAAGCCGACTTCATAGCTTAAAATTTTTACATGACATTCTGCTGACAGAGATGTAAAATCAAGAAAATTTTCAAGAAATTACGTTGACGAGTATTTAAAAAAAAAACAGTGAAGTATGATAGGAAGTCCACGATGTCTCGAATGGAGATACGTGGTTTCGAACTTAGGCCATCGATATACCGATGTTCGGTCGTATATTTCACTGAACTTCTTTCCTCAAAGTTGGCGTATTCAGCATAGCTTTGGGAATCCACCTCGTGTAATAATGAAGTCCACAGAAGGTCAAGATTTTGGAACTGAAGTTTCCTAACAGAACTGGTAAAGTTTAAAAAACTATAATAATGAGCCGTGTCCTGCGGGAGCGCTAGGGGGATAAAGAAAATGAAAATCACCTTTTAATTGCTTTCCGACATTATCGCAGGCGCCTTTGCCCAGAACACAATTCAGCTGCTTCAGGATGTAGTTTTTATTTTTCAGATGTCCGCTGATATCCCCCGCTCCGAAATTCGGGCCCAAATGAGCACTCTCCACGAAGTAAACGGCGAGGACTGAGAAAATCGCGAGAAGTACTACACACTTCATTTTAGCCGCGTTTAGATTTACACAAAACGATCGAAGTTATAGCGAAAATCGCGAGAGAAAATTTATTCGGATGGATATACTTTGTCGCGAGAAAAGCGGGTGTTCAGGTGATAGCACGTTTAAGTGTCCGAGTTCCTCGACTATGGGCTACTGACGGTTATCGGTCGTTCGGTGGAGTGACCTTGAAACGAGTGCTGAAACAGTTCAGCGATGAAAAAAGGAGATGGGTAGATAATATTTGTAAAACAACAGATAGCGGATACGAAGGTCTTAACGTAGATTTCTCCGCATACACGTGGCTAACGAGGGCTTCCAAGAGAGTGTCCTACTTATCTTCAAAAAGGGAAATGTGAATAGGTATCTAGCATAAGCTCGTGAAATCAATGGTTGAGGAAAGATTGCGGTCCCGTACCGTCTAATATCAGTCACCCGATCGAATCTTGGATTATCTCGTACCTACCTCATTGGAAAAATCTCAACGTCTACTTGTCTGGGTCAGATTTGAAAGTTTCAGTCGGAATAAGTTGTCTGCTTGGATATCCTGGTTTGGGACCGAACCATAAAAAGCAACTTCCTCGATTAAAATCTACTTTTCAGGGAAACTTACGACTAGAAAGAAAAACACACGCACACTTGCTCATGTATGGATGTCCGAAATGCGAAACCGCGTATCTCCCATACAGTGTTTCAAAATTTTTGCCCCGATTTTATTTTTTCGAAGAAGAACAAGTTAACTTGATAGCTTCAAATTTCTACAGAAAAGTCTGCTACTCGAGATGAAAATCAAGGAAGTTTTCCAGGAATTACGTTGCGTGGCTTCCTGACTAAAAAATGAAGCTAGGCAGGGAGTCTGCAACATTGCGAACGGGGATGGGTATGTAGTTTCGCATTTTGGCCATCATTCTCTCTTCTAAGAACCACCCGGATCCCGTTTCAGACTTCTGATTTCCCCAATGAACTTAAATCCCTTTTTCTGGCTTTTTCACAGGCTGTCGATGACAAATTTTTGGAGTCACAAAGTCGTAATTTTCACACTGCTGAACAATTTAAATTTTTCGAAAATTAGGTATTTGTAACAAAAAATGGGAAAAGTGGGTGAGTGAAAATGGTAGGGATTTTCAAAATGGGAAGTCATCACGCATCTTTGTAAAAGTTCCGGACGTGACGACTTCAAGACTGGCAACTAACGTGTACTATTCCCAGAAATCGAGAGCAAAAAGGGGGTCAATGAGAGTAAAAAAGAATATTATTTGCATAATTCGCTAAAATGATCTGCCGGGCGGGGGTCTCAATGTAATCAACTTCGGCGAGGGTGGCAATGATACGTTGCTTTGCGGGTAAAGTACCTACGCAGTATAGTTTGTCATCACTTGTTGCCTTTCAGCGAGCGATCGCGGTTATTTCGAGTTTCGCAGTTACTCGCATGTAATCGCGGTTATTACGAGTTTCGTAGTTATTCGCTTATAATCGCGGTTACCTCGAGTTTCGCTGTTCCTCAAGTGGAATCGCGGTTATTTCGAGTTTAGCAGTTACTCGCGTATAATCGCGGTTATTTCGAGTTTAGCAGTTACTCGCGTATAATCGCGGTTATTACGAGTTTCGTAGTTACTCGCTTATAATCGCGGTTATTTCGAGTTTCGCAGTTACTCGCGTGTAATCGCGGTAATTGCGGATTTCGTCATTACTAACAAATAATCCCGATTATTTCGAGACTCACAGTTCCTCATGTGGAATCGCGGTTATTCCGAGTTTCGCAGTTTTTCGCGTGCAATCGCGGTTATTGCATATTTCGTCATTACTGACAAATAATCCCGATTATTTCGAGATTCACAGTTCCTCATGTGGATTCGCGGTTATTTCGGGTTTCGTATTTACTCATAAGTAATTGCGAAGTTTATCGCTTTTAAACGCACTGGTATAGGTATACGCGGATATGATCAGGGTATTTTGCGAACATACTCGCGTGACAAGGCTGTTCCGCGCTTATATTCGCGGTTCCTTGAGTACTCTCGTCATTGCAGTTATCCACGGAATCACAAGAACACCCGCACCCGCGGTCACTCTCAAACCGAATAGAAGAGAACAAACTGAATGAAAAGGTTTGCAATAGACAGGTTCTGCCTCAGTTCTTGTAATATTTATTCAGAGTGACGGGTCCTTGCTTGTAAGTTTGCGGTGGGTTATTTGCAGACAAGCTTGTGCTTGTACGCTTGAGAAGTTACACATATATATTGCAGCCTCTCAGTCAAAACCACCTTTCAATGTCTCAATGCCCCTACACTTGAAAAGAAAAAACTGGGCTTGGTACTAACCCAGTTTTTTTTTTCAAGTGTAGGGGCATTAAAGGTTCTTCAGAGGATATGTGAGTCAAGTCGGTCTAATTCAGTCAACTTTAAGCAATGGACCAGTGGATACGGTACAAATTTAAGCATTCTGAGTCATAATTATTGGCCAAAATTTTATGTTGAACACGGTTCACAACATAAATTACTGAAACCAACCCCTAACCAAGATAATGACGTTTTCTGATACAGAAATTCAAGCTTCCTGCTCATGAATAAAACAACAATCCAAGACTTAGTTGAATCGCAAACTGAATGTTACTGTGACAGTCTCTGCAATTTGAAAATATGCTAACCTCAATGTGGATGTTTTGGCTCAGCTGTTGCACGTTTTTAACAATTTGAACAACAGAAGACAGAAAGGGAATATTGCTCGATTAAGAAATCTACAAAAACCATTGTAGTGTGCCATTCGGTTAAAGTAGAGTATTGTTTTTCTTGCTGGCAGGAAATCCAAAATTTTCTTAACCAATGTAGACTGATAACGTTGATATCATAGTTATGAGTTAATTTTAGTGATTTTTGTTGCGCTAATCAATTTCGATACAAAATTCTAGTTAAGATACATTTATCAAGGTGCTTCATTCGTACCTTGTCTACTGGTCCATTAACAAATCTATTTAAAAAATCTCAGAGAAACTAATGCACAACTCCCATTTTCTATGTATGACTTTGGCTTCACATTTTCATAGCAGGACCTCTTTGAGCATAATTTTCAGGCTACCTACAGCTTCCCACTCAGTCTTTAATTCAATCAGGGACATAAAGAAGACATTAGCACCACAGGAGAGAATTGATAATGTCTGAAGGAATTCTCAAAACTGAATTTTTTTTCCTTTTCAAGCATTCCTCTGGAAAATCTTTCTTGGTGGTATCGACACTTGATACGCACATAATATTAGATGTAGAATCTTCATCAAATCTACCATTTATGACCATGGACATATAAGGGACATAAATGCGGGAAGCCTCGGACTCCCAAAGAAACCCTTTCCCCAAAAAAATTCTGATTGTATATGGTTCCTCAATATCAGAAAACCCCTATGAGCAGTGATAGGACTCTCAGCCCCCTACCCAACAGAATTTTCTAGCTATGCTTATCTTCTTGACTCATCACAGTGGAGCCAATTATAGACCATTTCAGTTGAAGAAAGTTGTGCCAACTTCAAAAAAAAAAAATTTGAAAAAAAATTGAAAAAACCTTGAGCAAATTTTTGTTGAACCACTACCACCACTACCACTTTTTTGCTATTCATCAATCAGCCATGATATAAAAATTCTAGCTTAAGCCTTTTTGAATATTTTTCAAGATAGGAATATTTCTTCTAATTAAATTATTGCTGCTGCCCCTCCCCCTTCCTCCCTACAATGTTTGGTTTTTGAGTTCAATAATCAAAAGAGTAAGAGTTCAGTCAAAATTAAGCTCAGTTCTTCCAACTGCAGCAAACAAAAAAAAATCTAGAGCACACAATTAAGACTTGAGATATTTAAGACTGCATAGGATGCAAACAAAACATTTAGGTTCAGATGAAAAGTAAAAGAGGTCAAGTAATGAAGTAAAACCAAAAGTCGAGTGTAGATAATAAGTAAAGTGTTAGTGAGAAAGAGAATGAAGAAAACACTGGAACACTCACATTAATACTGGAAGCAGGAGCATGTCAGCGTAGAGGAGCAGGCTTCAACTACCGTCGAAATCTCAGTAACGAGGGGAAAAATCTGGAGGCACCATAAACGACGAGACCCGCCAAGGACAATTTAATGGTAAACTTTAGAATTTTGGTACTTCTCGATGGAGGTGGTACTCTGAAAAAAACAAACATTAAAGTGTCGATGAACAAATTTGTAATAAGAGAAAATGGCTAACACCGAAGAATTTCTAAAGAGCCTCAGTGCTTGAATATAACAGGCTAAGCTTAGGTCCTTACAACATTCAGGAAGTAAATTCCCTAATTATGCTCCGAAACAAATGAAAATTGTAAATTTTCTCAATATGTGCCTGTGTAGTTAAGGTGGAACTTCAGTTTCTGCGTAATGCGTTCTGGGTATGATCGATATATTTTAAATTTTGACCACTTGGTAGATCATGTTACGAAAATCGGAATTTCAGTCTGTATGACAATCATTAAGAAATGTCACTGCGAAATCATCCTCCAAAATTTTAAAATAAAGTGAAAAGTAATGTTTCCATTTTGCAACCGATTTCAATGTATCAATATCGACGATTAATTGTAAATAGTACTTCTGACTTCATTTTAACTCTTTGGAAGATGATTTTCGGCACGAAAATCCTCCAATGACTTATCTACAGACTGAAATTTAGATTTTCCCAAAATGATTCACCTAAAGGTTAAAATTTGAGATTTAAAGCTGAAGATCCACTTTAAAAGGTGATTATCTCATATTTTGACACACTAATAACTGACAAATGAATATCAGGCTGTAGGATGGAAAATCTTTTGGTTCATGAGTTACAATCTTAGAGCCCCAAAAAATATTCAAGGAAAAAGTTCCCTAGATTTTATTCAAACTGATTTGAATTGAAAATTCAGTACGATTGGATGAAGTTATAAAAATTTCAATTTGTGAAAACATTAGTGTGGAGGTATCGCTCATCGTAAAACACAGCGTATGATGCTATCTACCGCCTTAATGTAGAACATAGTTTCTTCCATGTTGGTTTCATAGATCAGTGATACACATGTTTGAACCGTTTGTTTGGCGTTAAACATGAATGAAGCCAAGATAGAGGAAACCACTGGCGTGGTCGATGATGTCATTCAGCATGTTTTTCGATGGGTGATATCTTTGTTATTATTGGACTTAGAAATTTACAATTGGAAGAATATTTTAAAATGGGGCTAGTCTATAAATTTAAACCATTAAAACACAATTCTGTGGCTAGCATAACCGATAAATTTGTGATCATTGATTACTTTCAGTTAGCTACATACCCACAAATAGGTAAGAAATCTTCCTCGGTTACAGTTCCCCACAGTTTTACAATTCCTGGTAAGTGGCCGATTCCGACAATGCCAACAACAGTCGCAGGTTGCCCAGCACTACCTAGATTTGAAAAAAAAACGAAAAATAAAAAAACCAACTATGCAAAAATTACAAAGGTAAGATATATTTACTTAATAATAAAATCAACAGAAATCAAAGAGAGGAAAGAATAGCTCTATATTTCTGAAATCAACAATACAAATATTGATACCACCATTTGCCTTATTTGACACGTCACAAAATTATGCAAACTTAAAGGAGGAGGGAGAATTTTTCACTAACAGATGGCAGGCAACAAGAGGAAACTTAAAAAAGTACCTATTCAAACATTTTCTCATTCCTTAAATTCTGCATTTTAGCACCAACTTAATGTGGGCTTCCAATACATTAAAAATCACAGTTTTCCTAGTTTTGTACCAATTTTTTGCAGGAAGTGTTCAAGAGGTAATCATTTTTGTTTGAAATGGGTCGGTAGCACCCTTTTTTAAATTCATTTTCTAAAAATTCAGAGTGAAGTAAGCTTCTAGGAATTTTTTCAGTTTTTTTCAAAACTCAATGGAAAAGAAACCTCATTTCAAAAATGCCAAAAATGGAGCCAGTTTGAAAAGATATTTTTGACGGGCTTGACGACGTAGCCTGGCGGGGAAAACAGCATTTAGTGATTGAATGAACTCAGCTCAAGGCAACATCTTGCTATGTCAACTTGACTGTCGGCTATGAATTACTTTACCCTATTCTCTCCTAAGAATTGCATTCATGAACCTTTCGGTTTTTCATGAAAGTTTAAGTAGGAAAGTATAAAATTTTAAGTATCTTAAAATGGAATAACTTATCTTTCCTTTAAGAGTGCTTACTTTAAATTTTTAATGAATGTTTTAGATTTTTCATGAAATTTTAGTATAAATAGATTTACTACAACTCTGCAAAAAGTTAGGTGCAAAAAGTGTTAGGTTATCACCTTAATAAAAGATACTGTCTATCAGAGGGAGAGAAAATTTTAAAAAATACCTGGGAAGCGATCCGGCAGTTTGGCAGCAGCAGCTACTTGAAGAGAATAGGTCAAATAAATATCACGCTCATTAAGAAATACCTTGCCAATCCCTGGGTAGTATTTGGCTAATTCTTTGAACATTTCATCTAACACATCATCATTCTTGCATTTCTCAACAAATTCTTCACTGAAAATGAAAAAAAAGCACTCTTTAAAGGAAAAAGAGAGAATTTCAGTAAAAAATCAGTAGGGTGGATGATGTGAAGGCATAGTATCAGGAATATGTTATTCATAAAATAGAGATTGAATCCATGTGGCCTGACTTTTTAATCTCACAGGGAACAATCTTAGAGATGTTTATGCTGCACTGAATGGATAATGAGTTTCCAACTTCGGTGAGCTTGATTTAAACAACTTTTTGAAATTGTGTGAGTATTTTGCAGGAGAATTCTATTCTCAGGACATTTTCATCCTGTTCTCACAGTTATTAAAATTTCGTCAATTTTTGAGAGGGAATCTATCCTGAAATTTTCTGAATTTGATTTGTTCCTGTTTTTTACATTTTATGAATGTAATGGTGCAGATTATTTTAGCTTTGACTTACTTGATTTTCGAGTCATCAGTGAACATAAGAGAAAATGATAAACAGATCAAATCCCACCAGGATAAGAAATGGACAGCTCTCTTGATAGTGACTGCAAGAGGTCTGTCACCAAAATGGAGAATACAGCCAGGAATTTTGGACACCTTAAATTGAAAGCAAAAATTATTTTTCATTGTTTTTGGCAGAGGCGGAGAGAATATTTACGCATTCCAAAATCTTTAAATCAGAAGCAAGGGTTTTAAATTTTCAGAGACACAAAAATTCATAGATTGACTTCAGGGAGGATGAATGTCAAATTATTTGTACAAATGTTATAAATGTATTAAAAAATTGACTGAATCTATCTTAAATTCACGTTTTTTCTTTTCAACATATTTGCACCCTAGAACAATAGATTAACATTATTTTCGGAATAAAAAATTAAATTTCCAGAAATCCGTGTTTGTACACCATTTGAAATTACTAAAAATGTGCTGGTCTAGTGATAACTTAACCAAGCAATCAATTTACTGAGTAAAATTAAATAAAATATAAGTTAACTAAAAAGTAACAATACTTACTTCTTTGAAAGCTCTTCTAAATTCACCACCAGGTGCCATGCCTAGAACTTCAGTGAGCTGCTTTGAGAGTCGTAGCAAAAGAACACAAAGGAGGCCTTGAATGGTGCCCTGTTCATCCATAATACTCTTCATTTTTGAGAAAGACATGCTCTTCACCTCTTCGGTGAATTCTTTGTTTGTCATTTGCAGGATCCCTGCTCTACCTGAACACAGCTCTACTACAACAATATTGGGACGGACGGTTCTAATGACCTTAACCAACAAAAAAATTGTACAAATTACTTATATGGTTTTACAAGAAAAAGCAGGTACTTGAATGGGTTCATTATGCAAAGAAGGAAGTCATCATCAAGAAATGGGCAAAAATATCAGGGGAATGGTGCATTAAGAGGCCATGTTACTCTAAAACAGTGAGTAGAGCACCAATTATCCATGCTTCGGTTATCCATTTATTTGGTTATCTGACACTCAAAATTCTGAAAATTCACCAAAATTTCCTAGTATTCCCTAACTGTGGCAATCCTGTAATACAAATGCTGTTGAACAATAAGGGAGAAAAAACGATAAAAAGAGCCACAGTCCATTTCAGCGATACCGGTGCCCAATTTCTTATTGGCAAACGCTAATCTCTTGGGAACCAGCCTGGGCGCATCAATAAGTTCAAGGCCACAACTTATAAAAATCTTCAGGGGGAGGAGGAGAATGTCCCGTGATGTATCTTAGAATTATTAGGGGCGGAGAGTTGAGAAGAATGGCGCAATGAGCAGACCTACAGGAAAAATTAAATAATTTTTTCATCTCAATGTTTGATGATCTTTAAGCAGTAAACCAACCTATTGAAAATTAAATCTCATTTCTCTGATCTGCAGTTTCTTTCTTGCTTTTTTTCTTACCTAAAAGGGACAGCAACTCTAAAATTGAAAATGAGATAGTATTAAAAATTGAAGCGGGAAGGTACATGAAGCAAAATGGCTCTGTCCTGAATGAAAAATTCGCAAAATCGGCAGAGATATGAAAGATTGTGAGTCTGACTGGTGATGTTATGCACTTCCGATGCGACTGCGGTTCACATGAACACGACTGGAAGTCTGGTGCATTTGCTGTCTGGCGCTGCAAAGTCGCCTTTATAGTCACACCTAAGCAAAGAAAAAAGAGTCGGCCAGGAACAAGCGAGATCAGGGCGCACTAATAACTTGTCGCGAACACGCATCGGCCACTAGACACCGGAGACAGAATGCAGAGTGCAGACTGCGAAATGCTAGACGGAGCTCATAACGTCAGGTGCTTAGCTGTTTCTTTGCAATAGCAGCTCAACGAATGTAGATATTTGCAAACAGATTTTGGCATCGTTCATTGCACACTTTTCTTCAATGATTTAACCAAACTTGTTTTTAAGGTTGGCGTCCCCTTTAAAAGTATTCATAATATGTTTGATTTATTGGACTACATTATGGAATAAGGAGCTACAACTTCTGGCTCATGCATAGAGACACCTGTCTGTATAGGAAAAACTAGTGGCACATTATCTGTTTCTTAAGTGAGCCACAAATTGTAGTTCTTTATTGCAAAATGAGGTCCGTTTTAACAAACATCTCACAGTGATTTTAAAAATAATGGCGAGGTAGTTTTGGGGACGAGCTTTACCCAGGTATGTCACAAAACCATAAATTTAGCATTTTGTAATTTACGAACAGCCCTTTTCAGGACGGGTTGAAAAATAAGTTTATTCAACTAATTATTAATGTTTTCTCATACTTAAAATACAGTTACCTTTGAGACGTCATCTTGACTTTCTCGGCTGAAGTGCGCAGTGCCAACCAGATATACTTTGTTACCATTTTTGCCTTCAAGAACTCGAACTGTTGATGGGAGATCGTACTCATAATCGGTTTCTGATGAACTATGGTGACAACAAACAGGGTCATCTATGAAACAGGAAATTTCACACAAGTTCATTAACCTTGCTTAAGTTAAACATGAATTATTGTTGTATACTGAGCATTTAGATTTGAATGAATGGTCTCCTTCATTAACAGTACATACATATATAAGAGTCGCTCTCACAGCGCTCTGCAACGCCTAACCGCCACAAAACTTGGTCCTCCCACAGGTCATGAGGGAGTTGGCACTCCCTCATCTCATCCATAACCCCCTGTCGCCGACCTTTCACTGGGCGTCCCCTTCATCTCCTCCCAGGAGAAACCCAGTTGGAAGTCAGTATTAACAGTACAATATAGTTTAAAAAAGTGCTCAACTTTGAGGGCAAAAGAAGGAGATCAAACAATGAAAAAAAATAATCAGATCTTAGACTTTTCAATAGGTACTCTAGATTTTTCATTGGTACATGTTGTTAAACCATCATAGAGAGACTAATTTGCAACAGTTCCAAAGTTATGGTTGTTTACGTCTCAGAGATTGCATTAGCTTAATTCACTTCAGAGATTGGCCACAGCTTAGAAAGTCAATATATCAGAAGGAAACCGTAAATAACATTGACACTTTTTCCCCTTTGGCCACAGACAGGGAGGAAAGTTGCAATAGGCCTATTAAATCATGATCCTGTCGTACCTAAAATGATTATTGAAATTTTCAGTGTGCTGTACTCTTAGAAAAACTAATAGAGAGAGGTTTGGTGAGCAATTTCCTACAGCATTAGGAAAATATCTCATGAATATAGCATAAAGTTTCACCCATATTTTTATTTTATTTTTGGGATCCCAAGCAAGAATGAACGCTTGAGGGATTCAAGGAATGAGGACAGGCAAAGTGCTCCGTACTTTACAGGATCAAAACGATTTGACCACAGCAATTCTAATCCAACAAGGAAAGATATAGCTTAGGGTATTTTTGAATAGCTTAAAGGACACAATTTCTGTTTGGTGCCCTGTACAATTGTGTGTATTGAGTTTCTTTTCTTAATAATCATTTCTTTCTCCCTAAAGAATGAATTACTAAAACCACCCCTATCCATTGGCTGGGAGAGCATGGGTTCTAAAACTCTAGGGGGCACTTTTTTGGATTACCTACCTTTTAATTGTCCTCATTAATTGTGAATATTTCAAGCTATACACTTTTGACTTCTCTTGACTTTTTAAATAACCAAAACAAGTTGACGATGACTTTTCATAGTTACCTGGACCACTTGAGGAGGAGGAGGAGGCTGCTTCAATATCTACAAGATGTGATGCCATGATCCTTATTCAATCAGAAATTGATCCTAGCTCCTTGATTTCCTAACAGACCGATAAAAAAGAAGGTTTATATCTTCAGAGTCAGAATCAACTTATGTTACAATTGATGGTGCCAATGAAGGTCTTCAAACAGTAAAATAAAATAAAATAAAATAAAATATATAACATATGCTGAGGGAGCAGCAATTACATCTTACTGATATTTTTTTAGATATTGATGATCATCGCAGTACCTTTTCCCACTCTTCCCCCAGTAAAACTCTTCATTTCCGACCTATCTCTTAGACTGATCTACACAGCCATAATTTATATTTTCAACTTATAACTAGATTTAGCGATAGCAAAAAAACACCCATCTTCCTTTGGAAGTTCCTGGATGGAACATTGGCCTATTGATTTGGTGCGGGAAATGGAATGTTTAGAATATAATTTGAGTGCAAATACACAAGCAGTCTTTCAGGTGTTCCTGTACTACTTACGTATGTATTCTGTGCACATGATTTCGCGGCATCAAGCGACAAGTAAAACTCCAGACTCATGAACATTAAGTCATCTAAATGACTTGGTTGATTTAGAAATTTACTTAATTTAATCATATGATAGTAATATAAAAATATTAAACTTGTGCTACATAATATAGTACTTAAAGAGAGAGTGAATAAGAAAAAAAGGAAGAGAAAATAAGTGTACTTACTCCAGCTCTCAATTACCAGTGATTGATTGGAATTCCGAGTTGACTTTCCTGTTTTCTCGCTTACATGATCACTTGTTTACGAAAATCGTAACAATGTTGAAGGATAACGGAATAAGCAGATTGTGAATAGCGAGCAATCTTTTATCTTTTGATTGATTATCAAAGTTATCAAGGAAATCGGGGAAATCGTGATTACGTGGGAGAGATGACAGTGTGTAGATAACCTAAAATTCGAACTTTTCATCACATTTTTTGTGTTTTTCATTTAATTCGCTCTGATTGGCCCAAATTCTTTGCGCGCTTTTCAACGACCTTGTAACAAATATGAAAATTTAGCGCGAAATTCGAAAATACGCTCCTCGTCAAAAACACCGTTGTGCGACAAGCAATTCTAAAGAAGGTAAGTGATATTGTTAATTTATCTGCCCTGTAGAAAAGCAGTAGAAAAAAAATTGCTCCATCCTTGTCTTTGTTTTCTGATTTTTTTTACCTCCAAAAGAAATAACGACGGTGTAAGTCGGCAATCACATAACTTTGTTTGCAATGTCTCAAAATCTCCACCTCTATGTTATATTTTTGAAGGAGAACAAATTGATATCATTCCGTGAAGTTTTTGCAGAATTTTCTTCGCTCAGAGAAGAAAAATCATGGCAGTTTTAAAGAATTGCCGCTGAATAGTTTTCCGTTTAAAAAATAAAGTATGACAGGAAATCTGCGACGTCGCAGACCGAGTTATGTGATTGCCGACTTACACCGTCGATAAGTCTTCAACCACATCTTTTATTTTGCCCTCTAAAAGGAGAGTGATCACATATGAGCGAAAGTTAAGTTCCGTAAACCTATCTCTGTATGGACAAGGCCTTCCATTAATAAGAAATGAACCAAAAAATTATGAAAGAACAAACATAAATGTGGTTTAATAATTTAAACTTCCGCCGCCGCGCCGCGCTAATCGCACTGTGCTTGGCGCAATGCGTGAAGTATTCCTACAGTCTTACATGCGCTATGCGTTTCGGGCCGACCGCGGGCTGCTGCACGCACTGTTTGACGCAATGCGTGAAGTATTCATGCAGTCTTGTAGGCGCTATGCGTTTCACACTGCCCGCTACTGACCGCAGCGACCGCATCGTCTTTGGCGCAATGCGTGAAGTATTCATGCAGTCTTGCAGGCGCTAAAATGTGTTACATACCGACCGCCGCGCCGAGGGTTTCTCCTTTTCATCTCACGTTCTCGTCATCATTGCTCTCTGCGCCGCGCCGTTCCAGGCCAAATTCCGTGTTCGGTTTCTCTCTTAGTCTTAACTCGACTAACTAAAGATGCTGTCTATTGTATCACAGAAGGACGACAAAATTAGAGATATACTCTCAGGAAATGAGAGATTTTGTCACCTTTTCTCGTTCGTAATTTTTTTTTTTTTCTAAATCCAATTTTTCTTCATAGCTACATTCAAAAAAATTGCAAAATTTGCCGCCATGGGCCGCGGCCCATGTGGCCACCCCCTTAATCTGGCCCTGCATGTAGTGTTTCTTATGGCATGATGAGACCCTCGACATTTTGAAACCACCTCAAGGAATTAAAAACTCCTTGCATTAATCAAGGGAGCTCTACAGGTGCAAGTTCAATGGCCGGAAAAAAATAAATGAAAACTACTGCAAATTACTCGAAGTAAATTGGACATTAATTTATTCATAAAAATTACAAAATTGTTATTGGTTTAATTATACATTACCATAGATTGTATACAAAACACAACAACTACCCTTCTTTATGTCCTTAAGCATAAAGTGACATTGTAAATAAAATAAGGTAAAAGGCATACATAATGGCCCTGCTTGATTTTCATATTGGTCACTTTCCTCGCTGGCGTGATGCAGTATTTCCAAAGTATTTATATTAATACAGATACAATAGGAAACAAACCATAATGATGTTATCACCCCAGTCTCATTTAAAAACTCCGCTTGAAAAGGCTTGATAGAGAATATATACGGCACGAGAACATTTTATTGCTTCATCTAAAAGTGCTTCATGAGCTGAGGTCACGGTAATTTTTATGATTTTTTCCTGATACAGAAAATTTGAGGAAAATGTATTTAAAATTGATACCGTCGCCCAGTGACGTCGCATAGTGTAGTATTTCCCAATAATGCACATATTTTTGAGCAGAATAGATTATTCTGTCAGCTATCGAGAACATTTTTGTACTCAGTTCACTCAGTAGTTTCTATTTGTAGATGATATTCATTAAATTTCAGAAAACTGCACATTCTCTGAAGTAAATACAAATTTAGATCGAATGGCGAAGCAATTCGACGGTGAAACTACCAAACCACGTATCTCGTTTGCGGTGTTTAAAAATCTACGCTCGCATTTTATTTTTTTTAAGTAGACCAAATCAATATCATTCCTTGAAATTTTCACAGAATTTTCTCCGCACGAAGAGGAAAAATCACAGAAATTTTCAAGACTGGACGTTAAGTAGTTTTTCATTTAAAAAATGAAGTATGACAGGAAGTCTGCGACGTCGCAAACCGAGATACGTGGTTTGGTAGTTTCACCGTCGAATTGTTAAAAAAAGTCACAGTGCGGACCACCTTAACCAAAACAAGAAACAAAAACAAAAACTCAGCAACCCTTTCTCTTCCCTCTCGCCCCAACAGTTTCATACCCTCGTTGGACAGAGTTGGAGCTAGTTACTGCCGTCTGAAGCAAAAACGCGGTATAGGTATCTGCATTTTCGCATTTTTCCTCGACACGTGATGAACTATTACAAGGACTCGACTGGGGGTGGCTACCGCCACTCTTGATACCTGATTGCCACACTAGTTCTCATTTTTTCATATTGAATTCCCAAAAGCATGATGGAATCATTTAAAAACATTGAAACATTGAATATAATAGAAAAGTGTTGATCATCCACGCTGGTAGGGACGGCGAATCAAAAATCGCGTATAATCGAAAATCGCGGATAATCCCGATTGAATTATGCTACTGGGCAGCAAGAAAAACTATCTGAAAGACTGATGTATTTTAAACGAATCTACTGAGAACTTGTCAAACATTAGACAGAAATGTAATTATTAGTAGAAAAATGAATAAACTTTACCAACCTCAGGAGAAGTTTTTTTTAAGTCATATATAATTTCTTGAAGATGTTCTTTTTAGAAATTCGTACCATAGAATTGCAATGTTTTTGGGGCTACGATCCATTCCACTGGTTTTAGAATAATGATTCCGGCCGCGAACCACCAAAAAAAAAAATCGCGGATACTGCAGCTCTCGAAACTGCAGCGCGGGAAAATCGAGAATCTACTCTGCCGTGCTGAGGAAAAACGCCGTATGAATTTTCAGGTGTTGCCAAATTTCCTTTGGTAAATCAGCATTCTTTGGTTTCTTTTGGTATCATCAGGAATTTTCTGGAAAATTTTTCAATATTTGTCCATCAATTTTTCATATAATTTTGTTCGCAATCACCTCAAGTTTCTGAAAATTTCAAGGAAACATATTCATAGCTTCCCTCAAACATACAATTTTATCGATGGAAAATTGACATTTCTCGAATGTTTATACGGTATTTTTCCTTAGCAAGGCAGTACCGTTGTCGGTTTTCTTCGAGAAATGCATTTTTTTTTTTCAGAAATCAGTCGAAAAAGGATAGCATTGAGATACGGCCTTTTTACTGAGGACGGCAGAGTGACTTAACGTGGCATATCGATAAACCAAAGTGCGAAACCATGCATTTCCATTGCAGTGTTTCAAGATTGCCGCTCCTATTTGATATTTTCGAGGGGAAACAAGTCAACTTGATAGCTTGACATTTTTCCGGAATATTCTGCCAGAAAAATCAAGGAAGTTCTCGAGAAATTAGGATGACTAGTTTCCCAGGGAAACAATAAAGTATGGCAGGCAGTCTGAAAGTCGCAAGCAAGGATACGTGGTTTCGCACTTGGACCATGGATATTGATCTTCGGAAAATTGAAAGTGCTGCGTGACGATGAGTTTTTCCGTATTGGAGTTCTCGATGAGATGGGCTAAGTCTCTAATGATTCCTCTGGAATTCGCTCAGTCAAAAGATGAGACTCAATCGTCAGGTGATTCAGAGGGGAGCAACTCCCGAGTCTTGCCTCGCTCGTTTCTGGACCCATCGCCATCGCTGTTGTTGGTCGTCGTAAACTGCCCGTTCGTCTCGTCTCTGAAAATACCTAATAAAATACACAGAACGACTGAGACGCAACAAAAAACAGCTTATCGCCCTTTTTATATCGGTGATAACAGTCGAAAAATGTACGTTTTAGTTTCGCGTCTCGCCGCATACGCATTGCACATTTCTTGTTGTACCTCACTTTCAATCAAAGGACTCTATGCACGGACCCCCCAAAATCGCCCATTTCAAAAGTTAACGAAATTCAAACCAGTGATAGAGGGGCACTTCCGGCCTCCAAATCCGGGGTTGGTTTAGTGCCCAGCCCCCCGAGTCCGACGTTGCCATTTTTTAAAGTTGATTAAACATGTTAAACCCCATAACATTTGAGCAATTAAAGATACGAAGGTGCGGTTTGTTTGAGTTGATAGAACATAAAAAGAGCTATCATTTCGTATATAGTTTTTATCCATTGTTGCCAAATTTACCCAAAAATCGGCAATTTTTCGATTTTTTCAACGTGCAAAAATACGGTTAACCTAAAAAAGTCAATATTGGGACACCACGTAGGAAAATAAAAAACACGCGTAATTAAAGCCCTTAATGTGAGCTTTCCAACGGTATATCGGTTTTTCCGGGGAAATGATTCTATCGCGAGATACAGGCCTTCAAAGTCCGACTTGGCGTACTTTTTGAGGTCCGCCGTCATTCGCACCCCAAAAAATCAGTATTGCGCACGCACATAGGAAAATGAAAATTACATGTAATGAAAGCCCTTTGTATGGGGTTTCCAACGGTATATTGGTTTTTCCGAGGAAACGATTCCATCGCGAGATACAGGTCTTTAAAGTCCGACTTGGCGTACTTTTTGAGGTCCGCCGTCATTCGCACCCCAAAAAATCAGTATTGCGCACGCACATAGGAGAATGAAAATTACATGTAATGAAAGCCCTTTGTATGGGGTTTCCAACGGCATATTGGTTTTTCCGAGGAAACGATTCTATCGCGAGATACATGCCTTCAATATTCACTGTAGCGGGGTTTTTAGGTATCTTGCGCGGCTTGTTTCTTTGCCCATCGTGATGGTGCACGTCCCAGGTCATATTAAATAATACATGAAACAGGGCACTAAATAGACAATTTTTCGATCTCGTTTATCGATTCTCTGCCTCAGAAAAATCGATGGTGTCAAACACTCAACGTGAATGAAAACACTCAGGCATACAGGATGCAAGAAAAAAGTCACAATCTCAGGGATTGTGTTATAGGGGAGACATGATACCTACATAAAAATGGATCCGTTGTTTCTGAGATTCCATTGAACTTGTAGGTTTAATATTCGTTTAACATTTGGTAATATACAGTTGGCAGTATGTGTCAGGTTCGTCTCTATATCTGCATCTCTCTCTGCATATCTGCATCTTTCTCTCCCTGCTCGCCGCTGCATGGACGGCAGCCCACTTAGATAAGAACTCCCCTGTTTCATGTAATATTCAATAGGACCTGAACCGCTACAGTGAACATTGAAGGCATGTTTCTCGCGAAAAAATTGTTTCCCAAAAAAACCAATATACCGTTGGAAACCCCATACAAAGGGCTTTCATTACATGTAATTTTCATTTTCCTATAAGCGTACGCAGTACTGATTTTTTGGGGTGCGAATGACGGCGGACCTCAAAAAGTGCGCCAAGTCGGACTTTAAAGGCCTGTATCTCGCGATAGAATCGTTTCCTCGGAAAAACCAATATACCGTTGGAAACCCCATGCAAAGGGCTTTCATTACATGTAATTTTCATTTTCCTATGTGCGTGCGCAATACTGATTTTTTGGGGTGCGAATGACGGCGGACCTCAAAAAGTACGCCAAGTCGGACTTTAAAGGCCTGTATCTCGCGATAGAATCGTTTCCTCGGAAAACCCGATATACCGTTGAAAAGCTCACTGAAAGAGCTTTTATCACATATGAGTTTCGTTTTTCTGCCAGCGTTCGCAATACTAATTTTTTGAGATGCGAATGACGCGGGACCTCCCAAAAGTACGCCAAGTCGGACTTTGAAGGCCTGTATCTCGCGATAGAATCATTTCCCCGGAAAAACCGATATACCGTTGGAAAGCTCACATTAAGGGCTTTAATTACGCGTGTTTTTTATTTTCCTACGTGGTGTCCCAATATTGACTTTTTTAGGTTAACCGTATTTTTGCACGTTGAAAAAATCGAAAAATTGCCGATTTTTGGGTAAATTTGGCAACAATGGATAAAAACTATATACAAAATGATAGCTCTTTTTATGTTCTATCAACTCAAACAAACCGCACCTTTGTATCTTTAATTGCTCAAAAGTTATGGGGTTTAACATGTTTCAACTTTAAAAAATGGCAACGTCGCACTCGGGGGGCTGGGCACTAAACCAACCCCGGATTTGGAGGCCGGAAGTGCCCCTCTATCACTGGTTTGAATTTCGTTAACTTTTGAAATGGGCGATTTTGGGGGGTCCGTGTATAGAGTCCTTTGTCCGTTAAGGTGATTCGTCGAGCTCTAATGACGTGGTCGAACCGACTTGCGATAAATCGCAACGATATAAGGTAACTAATCTCGACAGATTTTGAATTTTTAGCCAAAAAAAGGACGGTAGCCCCTGCACATGAGCCTAAAAGAATCATTCTAAACCAAAAAATGAAAACCTCGCATTCGATACGGTTATCGAATGCGGTTTTTTTCTAAACAGGATTCTGCTTTCATTTTCTTACAATTTGCTAATTTTTTGGTTTCGATTGTTTCTTTAGGCTCATGCGCAGGGGCCATCGTCCTTTTTTTGGCTTAAAATCCAAAATCTGCCGAAATTTTTTACCCCATTGTCGCGATATATCGCAAGCCAGTTCGACCACGTCCCTTGAGCTTGACGAATCACCTTAAATTGCGCGTTAGTTTTCTTCGGCGCTCTGAAATCATCTATAGATATTGTTGATGTTCTGATTCGCAAGTGGCAATTTTATTGGAAAAGATTTTACAGTGTTTCTTTCTTTTTTTAAAGAAAAAATACGAATAGGAATTCTGAAAGTTTCATCTAGGTTTCATGCGAAGAATGTTTCTAGACGATTTAAAACCATCGATCTGAGAATCACTATTTATTCAAGCATTGTGATATAATCAAAAAACCCCGTCATTCGCTGACGAATACCCTCCGCCTATATAATTTAAATTATGTTCAAATTTCGTTGTTGAAATGAAAAAAAATGTGAGTACTTTTTCTCACTTGTGGAAAAACGGAACGGAACTTGAAGAAATTTTTTTCACTTCACTTTTCACGGTTGCTGTTAAGTCTATTACCTACGTCCTTTGTCTATTGCAACCACCTGCTTCCACCAATAGGATACCTCCATATTCTTTTTGTCTTCTTTGTTTATTGCTTAGCCTATCAATTTCAATAATCAGCCCGGAGCAGGCCGATTATTGAAATTAATAGACAAAGCTGACGAAAGGGATGTAGAGGAATTCTATTGGTGGTTGGTAAGAAGGTTTGAAATTGATTTGAGGCAGATTTTTTTACCTGAGGTTGAATTGTGTTTTCCAAGAGGAGTTTCTCGTTGGAGGGATTCGGGCTGGGGGTGGGTGGTGTGGGGGTGACAGCTCCTCCTCCGAGCCCCGACGACGCTTTTCGACGTGCCTCCCGTTCAGTCTTTTGCTCTCTCTCTTTCTCGAAGCGCATCATGCTGTAGCTCATGCTCCGCCCCGAGGAAGCGCTCTGCACTGACGTCATACTTGGTCGACGGGAACCTGCAGATCATAATCAATGCATCAGCCTCACATCTTAGTAGAGAGTCAGAGACTCATAATCTAACTTTTAATAATACCTCTCATTTAAGGTGATCCAAAAGTCCTCCACGACGTCTACAACTTTTAGGGTTCTGAGTTCTTACCCCTTTCCAGTAGGCCGATTATTGAAACAAACAGGTTACCGGTATGCGGCGCGGGAAGCGCCTGCAAAACTTCAGGGATACTTCAAGCATCACGCTCTCGGCTCGTGACGCGCGAATCGCGCCACTTGTGAGTTTCGAGGTGCGTATGGCAGCGTGCGTACATCTTTTGGACGTATTTCTACCAAACAGACCTATGTGGAGGTGAGAAGTATGGGGTGTGCTCTAGAGAGCTGCATAAGAAACAATGTAAAAGTGGGCGTGATTCCTTTTGAAGAATTGGAAAAGCAGGATTTTACATTCTATCAAACAGACCTATGTGCCAAGTGAATGCGGGATATGTGAGCCGCGGGCATCGCAAGAGAGCTTTGTGGACAAGGCTCATGAGTTAAAGTGCCCCGACGACGATGTCCCCGCCGCCGCGCCCCCGCGCCCACCCTCGTTCGTTGCCGCTGACGTCACTGGCGCTTTTTTATTCTCATTCACTCTTACGCAAAGAGAACTAACGAGCACACCCCATATTTCTTACCTCCTCACAGGTCTGTTTGGTAGAAATACGTCCAATTCAGCAGGAAGTGTACGTAAAATAGAGCGCATTTTGTTCAAAAAGTATAGAGACATTACACAATGTCTATTAATAGACAATGCTATATACAAAGAAGACAAAAGGGATATGGAGAGTTCCTATTAGTTAGAACGGGTGGTTCTAATCGACTCAGGTGGGAAATGATGGACTGACTGGGGAGTGTGGGTGTGGGGTCTCTTGTCGGTTGCTGTTGGTTAATCTATTACCTACGTCCTTTGTCCATTGCAACCATCTGCTTCCACCAATAGGATCCCTCCATATCCTTTTTGTCTTATTTGTCTATTGCTTTGTCTATCAATTTCAATAATCAGCCCGCAGCAGGTCGATTATTGAAATTAATAGACAAAGCTGACAAAAGGGATGTAGAGGAATTCTATTGGTGGAAGCGGATGGTTGCAGTGAACAAAGGGTGTAGGTAATAGACTAACTAACGGCAACCCACGAGAGACCCTATATTGTATTAGTCCATCATTTTTCCCCTTAGTCTATAAGAACCACCCATCTCAACCACAAGGATCGCTCAATACTCCCTATGTCTTCTTTGTCTATCGTTTTGCCTATCAATTTTAATAATCAGTCCGCAAGGTGGTTCCGTTAAAATTTCAGAGGTCCTCAAAAGTTGTTTCCTTACCTAGAAGCGGCAACGAGACGTGAATAATCGACTTTCGATACTCGCCCATTTGAAATATTATGGTAAAGAATCGATAATGAAGGTTCTCGTTGCAAATTCCCTGATAATCGATCATTTTCCATGGGTTTAACTGGCGGATCCATCGATTTATCGGGAATTATGCGACGCCATTGCCCAAGAGCACTCACAAAATTTCAAGTCTCTATTTCAAATTGTTTAAAACAGCGGGCCGATTATTGAAAGTTTGAAGCAGCACGATAAGACATCGAAACGCGATACGTTGCATGATTAACATAGGGCTATGTCTTGTCTTGTCGAATCGACATAGATCCAATAATCAGCCCGCAGGGGTGCAGAATTTTTACGGACACCTTCTGCTGAAGTGATTTACGCACGCTGCGCTGCCCTACGCGCCTCGAAACTTACGATTCGCGCGTCACGAGCCGAGAGCGCGATGCTTGAAGTATCCCGACGGTTTTGCAGGCGCTTCCCGCGACCGTTTTTCGAGCACAGTTCAAACCTCATTTGAAAATTTTCTTCCTGGAGATGAGGCCCCTTTTCACAGATCCGGTCACAATTTTATGGAACAACAAAACTTCCTCGCATGAAAAAGAGCTTGACCATTCTTCCGCTGAGTCAAGAGACTTTAACGCAGGAGTAGGAAATTTGAGAATGGGTCGAAACCCGTGATACAACTATTTTGACTTCTGAGTAGGTGGAATTGCGTATCCGGAAAATGAAGGAGAATCTTTCTCCGGTTGACTTAGAGACTTTAACGCAGGAGTAGAACAGTTTTTAGAAAATTACTGCTTCCGTGTTGAATTAGGGATTACTGCAAAGACGCTAAATGTTTGAGAAATTTACTGCGAAAGCGTTGAATTTTTAGAAAATCAATGAGACCGCATTTAATTCTAGGAAAATTACTGTGAGCGCGCTGTTTTTTTTTGAAAATTACAGCGAACGCGCAATGTCATAGTACGTAGGCTGAATCCCTGGCTACTCGGAACTGCTTATAGGCCGAAGAACTTTCCACACCTCTGGTCAGAAAGTTGCAGGAGTGATGCCTGAGCTGGCTTTGACTTTTGGATCACCCTGTATATTCTGTGTCCTCCACTGATATTGTCGACTTCCTTCTAATACTCACACATGTTTAGTTTTGGTACGTCCTGGAGAGAGGCTACCCGAAATTTCTTAACTTAACAAGGCAAGCGATTACATAAAATCAAAATTATTCATGTTTTCAACTATCGAAGTTGTACTTTCTCTAATAAGCCGAGAGAAAGAACCACCATTACGGGGGTAAAACTTTATTCTCATTATATTTCGTTTCAAAGTCAAGGATGATAAAACAAATACCTATAGCGCGCTGGTATCAGAGAGAAACAGTCAGAAAGATTCAGTCCATGGGAATGTATTGTAAAAGGGTGCGACACGAAGGAGTTACTATTTGTCCACACGTTTTTCTCATTATGATGCACTGAAAGCATGATGACTTGAAGTATTAATTCATAAAGTTCTAGCAATACAATAGCAAACTCAAAGTATCAATTTTTACTATGTTCCGATTGATATAGTGTTTTCATCTTTCGAAGTCTGAAGTTTATTCGCTACTGCAGTGGTTTCTTATAGGGCATGTTACGCATCCAACTTGGTGTGAAGCTTCATGCAAGAACATTTTAATTTGATAAACAAAAACAAGATGTTTTCCGTTCTGATTTCAATTAAGTGCTTCATCAGAATAAACAATCGACGCATGCTTAAAATAAATTCATTCAGCTCGTTCCAATAGTGAAGTATGAGCAAAAACTTCACAATACTTTTATTAAAGTACTTCAGCTATGTATAAATATGACTATTAAAATATGTCATTCGAAAAAGCAATCCTACCGGGAAGCCGTAAAGTATGGACGACTTTTCTTAAAATAAGGGAGGGAATTTTTCTAGATACCAATATCTACAACCGTCCTCGAGTTATGAATAATTTTCCGTCCTTTATTGTTTCTTAAAAAGATTACGTGCCCTTTCCTCCACTTTGAGTCATAAACTATGTAAAAACCGAAGGTGATTTGTATCTGCGATCACGATGAGAATCCTTAGCACCATGACATATCGATGGCTGAAGTCGAAAAAAGGAACTCCAATTTGTGACGTTGCAAATCTCCACTCTTGTTTTGCCTTTTTGAAAGAAAAACAACCAACAGTTTTTCTTGAAATTTTCTATGCATTTTCTCACTCACTTGGAATCCACAAGAATTTCAAAGTTATATTTTGGCTGATTTTCCTTGAAAAGAGACGACATGATCGGAGGTCTTGGACTCTTGGAGGGTTGCAACGGAGATACGAACTTTGGATTCTGACCATCGCTATGATTCATATTGTCAACAGTTCAAACCAACCAACAAAGCTCTCTGATTCGTTCTTGTTTCCTCGTTTGCACTTACCTACATTACTTGCAAAGTTTCCCCTTCTATAATGACTAAATATAGGAGGAAATAAAAAAAAATTCCTCCACAAAAATGTGGAGACGAATACTTCATTAATGTCTTGCAGTTTTCGTTGTCAGCATTTAGCCCTGACCTCAACGAAGTACAAATATTTGAACTCCTCGGAGATCAGATTGAATCCCAGATTCAGATCCCACTCTCAATCTCTTCGATAGGAAGTGCGGCGCGCCAACGCACTTAGTTAACTCTAACTCGGAGCAACTATTTAAACTCCGCGAAATCCAAATTGCATACCAGATGAAATGAAGGAACTTTCGGTGCGGCCAGTAATTCATGACAAATCTTTGAGAACTCATACGGGAGAAAAAAGCAGAAAAAAGATCACAGACTGTTTTTTTTACCCAAAAACGAAAAAAAAAAAAATGATCAGCGAAGAGGAAGTTTTAATTCTTTCCTTAAAGGAGTGTTCCCCAAATCCCTGCTTTGATTGAAGTATTGTGATGAAGGGAGGAGTCTACTAATGAGAGGATTACTTGCTTTTAATATTTTCCTCGCGATGGCTCTGTTGCAAGTTCCGAACTTTACCGTGATTGGGGTGTGTGAGCGATGGCTCTCTGTAATTATTTTGTGCTTCACATTATTTAAAATCATTTCATTATTATTTAATATCAGCAGGGAAGGGAAATGTTTTTCAGATGAAATTCGCACTCAGATAGGTATTCATACAAAGAAAAAAAAGAGCCCCATCTGAGAAGTTTGACGACAGACAGAGGAGCTGAAGGATCTCGCTTTCATTGAATGTTATTTACAGACTGAGGTAATTAAATTTTGCGGCAAAAAATAAATAAATCAAATAGAATTGAATAAACAGCTTAAGCTAAAATAGAATAGCTAAAGAGTATCAAAATTTTATGTTTCATGAAACTTCTCAGTTTACGAAATTGACAAGCAGAAATTGCGACCCTACAAAAAAATTGAACCTACTTTATACATATTTTATTTTCACTGCTACTTTTGCTACTTTTACAGGATGCATAATCACTACTATCGCAGAATTTGTATCATTACTAAATTATACAAACAAAATGGATTTTTTTTTTAAAATTTTGTATTTCTGTTCATCGTTTGATTTTCTTACTAAACTAAATTGCTAAGCTAAATACAAATTATGAGCAACTTTTTCATAGAAAATGTCTTCAATACGGAAAATAAAAATGTCTAAGCCAAAACTAATTGTCACTAGTCACTAGGCAAAGGAAATTATCTACGAGGGGAGTCTTTGAAGGAGAAAAGGGCCGGCGTATATTTTCTAATAAAGCGCTATATATTAAGGATTTTAAGTTTCTTTTGATCCCTTTGTAGGTAGACACTTTTCTCTACTGAATAGCATCAAACATTATCCAGATGGTAAAAATCAGATCCTATTTACTATCATTCTTGCAAAAACTTACGGTGCAATTTTTGAGAGGCAGATTTTACAAACGTTTTCGCAACTGTACACGGCCTGCAAGAAATTTGTTTTGAAATTATTTCACATCATGATGCGAATAGGAATTTAGAGATTTTTTTCATTTTAGAAGGATTGAACTTTCTAAGGACATGCATTTTTCCTTACTGCGTTCCGTTTTCAACGGTCATATGGGCAGTGAGTAAGTATGTATCGATTTCCCTAAGGAAGTTCTCAATAAATTACAATGACTAGTTTTCAAAAAAAAAAAAAAAAAAAAAAAAAAAAAAAAAAAAAGTCGCAAACAGATATACGAGGTTTCGCAGTTTGGTCATAGAACCACGTACCCACTAACATTCTGTTTCATCCGTGTGATCTAAATTAATTTTCTCTGCGAAACAGACTCTTCCGTATTCGTTCTCATCCAATAAAAGTTACGATAAATTGTTTTTGATTGATTTCCTTTTAAGAGACGGACTCATAACCTCCTCCCCCTCCCATGTATTTTGAAATTGGTAGGGTCGACTTTCAGAATGAGCCTGAAATCACAACGCATATGGAGACCCTGAGATAGGAATCAAAAGAGTGGGAGAGAGGTAGTATTCTCTACTTGGAACCGAAAGTGACGTTACTACTATGAGAACAGACGGTTCTGGAACTTCATGCTCCGGGGTGCCACATTCACTCGATCACTAGTAGAGGGGGGGGGCTTCACGATGTCCCCCTCCCCTCCCCCGATTTTTTATTTATAATTTCCTTACTGTAAAGGCAATTTTTATTTGAGGAATAGCTTTCATAATATATAGGCAGTGTGATTTCAGCTTTGAAGAGGAACCAAGGGTATGCAGTGAATCACTCTGTACGAGTACAGTATTCGAAAAACGGAGAATCTTATCATTTATGGAGTAAAAATGTTGTAATTTTCCCCTATTTCTCTCATTATTATTCCAGGTTTTTAGATTCCACCAACCCCTTCACGCAGTGGCGTGTTGTGCTCTACGATATATCGATTGATCTGCTAGTTAAACATATAAAAAAGGATCGACATACAGGGTGCTCGCATCGAACACCTCAATAATCGATTCTTCTCCATAGCTTCAAATGGGGAATAGCGATAGTCGATCATTCACGCCGCGCCACTGCCTTAATGGCTCACTCCTTCACAGTTTCGGTTTGTGTTCAATTTTTGCTAATGGAGGTCTTCGAGAATTGTAATTCACGCGCTTCTCTAACGTAAAATTTTGCGAAAACATGATAGTGCTACTAATTTTCTTTAAATCAACTCCCGAGCTCAAAAAAGCTCTCAAAGTTGAGGCAGTAATAGAGGAGATGCCCCCCCCCCCATCCGTCCCCCGCTACGCTGAGAGTCCGCATTTATATGAGGGGCTTGGAGGACAAGGCGCATAACGACGGTGAAACTACCAAACCACGTATCTCGTTTGCGGTGTTTAAAATCTACGCTCACATTTTATTTTTTTGAAGTACCAAATCAATATCATTCCTTGAAATTTTCACGGAATTTTCTCCGCACAAAGAGGAAAAATCACAGAAATTTTCAAGACTGGATGTTAAGTAGTTTTTCATTTAAAAAATTAAGTATGACAGGAAGTCTGCGACGTCGCAAACCGAGATACGTGGTTTGGTAGTTTCACCGTCGAAGTGCAGTTTTTGCTGTCTCGGGAAACACGCGTTCGAAGTTGTTTAATTGTATGGATCCTCATAGCGGACGGAGAGTTTAAACTGACTTTTTTATGCTTAAAAATTGAAATTTGGTAGCCACTTTCTCTCAGAAAATACAGTAAGACTTGTTTCACCTGAAATAATGTATAACTCAATTTTTTCAAAAACTGCACTTACGCGCCTTGTCCTCCAAGTCCCGCATACCTAGTCAAACTCTCCATGAGTGGCTAGGGATCAAATATATTACTTGGATTGCCGTGGTTCCGGCTTTTGAGTCCCCAAACAAGGTGACAACCCTGCTAATGTATTTGATCCCTATAACTGTGCTTGGAAAGTTTGACTAGATAACCTGGACCCTCATTGTAGCATTGGGATCACCCTTCATCAGGTACAGCTTCAACTTTTGAGGCCTTTTTTGCGCTTTTGAGTTGGTTATAGAGAAAACCAGTGGCACCATCGTGTATCTCGCACAATTTTACACCAGACAGAGTACTTAAATCGCTTCCTGACACAAGCGAGACCTCCTTTACTACAAGAGTCCACAATATACCGGGCTGAAGAAATACGCCGTATGAGCAGCCGAATGTTGCCAAATTTCCGCTATGAAACATTCATTTTTGAGGAAATTTATATGTATTTTTCCTTGAAATTTTCAGACACTGTAAATTAAAGTACGAGCAAAATCGTCCGAAAACTGGGCTAAAAATATCCACAAGTTTCCCTGGAAATTCGTATTCTGTCAAAGGGAATTCGTCAACGACTCGCAGCGGATCGAGTCAATTAGAGAGGTCGGACATGAAATTTCTGACTAAAACTGCAGATTTTGATGTTTAATTCGTCACATTTTAAATTTTGAGAGGTGCTGTGACCAAAAAATTTCACGAGGAAACCGATGGAACTATTTTTAAAATCTCAAAGTTCTAATTTAACGGAGTTACAAGCTTTTAAAGTTTCCACGTTTTGTCCGACCTCTCCCATTGACTCGACCCGATGTGCGCCTGAGGGCTCATATGCGGTGTTTTTTCTTAGCACGGCAACATAATGGAGATGTTGCATGTGTGAGGAATTTCCGATGTGACTATTGATTGTTATGTAAAAGTTCGCGAGAAACACGATGGTGTCACTGGTTTTCTCTGAAATCATCTCCCAAGCTCAAAAAAAGCTCTCAAGTTGAGGCCAAAATGGAGGGGATATCATACCACGCTATCCTGAGAGTCCACCTCCACATCAAGACAAACTCTCCATGCGAAGATCGGGAGCAAATACATTAGCAGGGTTGCCGTCTTTTCGGTTTTAGAGTCCCCAAATAAAGTGGCAGCCCTGTCAATGTATTTGCTCCCTATCTTTGCATAGAGAGTTTGTCTTGATGTAGATGTGGACTCTCAGGATAGCGTGGGATATCCCCTCCATTTTGGCCTCAACTTGAGAGCTTTTTTTGAGCTTGGGAGTTAATTTCAGAGAAAACCAGTTGCATCATCGTGTTTCTCGCGAAATTTTACAAAAGAATCGATAGTGGTATCGCAAATTCCTCACACACGCAACATCTCGATTCCTTGAGGGAGGATGAGGGTGATGATTGTTACGACACCTAGGTGAGCGTACCGAAGCGTGAGGGATGGGCGGGGTGGCATGCTAGGTCTGTGGGTGGGCGGGAACTTAAGCAGCAGCAGCAGCAGCTATGTCGTATCTACCATGAACATGATTATTTTGTGCGTTGAAGTGACAAGAGATGAGGAGCCGAATGGCGGCTATGCGAGCGGCACCTGCTCTGGAGGAAGGCACGAGGACGCCCCGACTTCCCTGCCGAGAGAAGGAGCCCGGGTTCACAGACCGTTGGCTCGAGGAGCGGCTGCTTCGGTACGAGGGCCGCCCCTCCATCCCGTTCAGGCCCACCACGATACCTGTCCACAAATCATTAGAATATTATTAGTTGATTTAACGCTGTTGGCTCCGAAATACACGGAGAAAAAAACCTCGTGCGAGGGACCCGAAGTTAAGGTCATATGGATCTCTAAAGTTTTCAGATTGAGCATCTGAACACTTTAGGTCTAGCTGTCGAGGTTTGGATCACACATCTGAAACTTCTGTTCTCTTACATCTGAAGTACTTCGGTTTTCACATCCGAAAAACTTCGGTTCTCACATCCGAAAAACTTCGGTTCTCACAACTGAAGTACTTCAGATGTAAGGACTGAAGTTTCAGATGTGTGATCTGAACCTCGACAACCTAAAGTGTTCAGATGCTCAATCTGAAAACTTCAAAGATCCATATGACCTAATCTTCGGGTCCCACGCACGAGGTTTTTTTCTCCGAGTAGGGATGTCACTTCAGCAAATCCCTCCTAAAAACGTTCATGCTGATAAAATGTAGGAATCCTGTTGTTGCCGACATGGTTATCAACATGCACCATGTTGGCGAGGGACGCAGAGCACATAGAGTCGTAATGTAAATGGGAGAGCTGCCGCCATGTTCCGGTCGACGAGTTCCCAACCCGGTGTGCGCCGAGCTTCGCTCACTTTTTCGATAAATGTTCCATCCAAAATGGTGGTGTAGAGTACGTAGTAATTCCTATATTCTTTGTTTACATCGGATGGCCTGGTCCCTGTGTATCGAAAACAATCTATTATGTATCGAAAAAGTGACCCGGCGTGACACAGGAGTCGCGGAATTCGGGACCTGGAAAATGCTTTAAAGTGGTGCCGGCTCTCCCGCACTTTCAGTACGACTGTACTCTATGCACAGTACCTAACGCTCTGAGAGGAGGAGGGGAAGGGTAAAAGATAGCGTTGCGTCATTATGTTTTTACGTGTTATAGGATATGGACTAGGGACCTACGTCATAGAAGTGTTACAAGGGGGAGGGGGGTCGAAAATGCCGAGAAAATGCGAAATGTAATTTATGAACGATCCCTGTAAAGTTGGCTGCAGGTGCTTGACACAAAGCCATTAAACAACAGGGAAAAAACGATCCCTGATTGAAACAAGTACCATGTGTACCTACATTTTGTTCACGTGTAATGAAATCACTGTCAATACTTGGGTTTGGATCGAATAGGCAACCAAACTAACTGCGTGCCGGATCGTGGAGTATCACAGTAAATGAAGGCGCTACTGACAGCTTATCGTGTTTTAGAAGTCTATCAACTATGAAACCTGTTTTATTCAATGCGAATCGCTGATAGTAGCCGATACAACTGGTAATTCGCTTTTAGGTGCTCGACCATCACTGTCTGAGTATTTTTCTGGAGAAAATATTTTTGGTCAAACCCGCATGGCTTGTGCGGGCACTACGACTACCGTGAGGTAGTTGGCACACAGGATACCAGCGAGAGGTAGTTGTCTTTGTAAATCGCAAAATTAAGCGGCGCATTCAGATGTATGGCCAGGGACCGAATTTTATCGGCCCTTCCACATCCACAGTACCTACTTGAATGTGCTGAAGACGAGTTTCGACCGCACATAAGTCCGAATCAGCGCCTCTGATTGGTCGGTGGTGCGGTTTGGACTTATCGATGAATGTTGCATCTCCATGTGATCATGTGAAAGAGCCGACAAAATTTGGCCCCAGGTCACATAAAACAGTGTATTAGCACTCACTATATCGTTCAGAATTTTACACTGTAATTTTATTGGTAAATAACGAAATAAACAATACAAATTTATTTTAAAAGAACATTATTTGTGTAAACGAACATTACCTTTATCTTTAGCGTAAATGATGGGCGTAGAGAGATGAGTGGTCGCATAGTGCCTGGGTCTCAATCCCACAAACAGCTTAAGCACGAAACATATTAAGGCGGAAAATATTGCCACACCACTGGCGACTCCTAAAAGACTCCCAACATTAGTTGAAATCACTTCAATGTCTGGAAAATGAAAATCGACAAAATTAATAAGTTTTCCGATGACTCGTTCTTATCCCAATTGTATTCTTTTTTTAAATTGCTATACATTTTTACACTTTTTCCAGGATATTTTCAGAAGAATCTGAAATATGTTTTGGCTAATTTTTATGTAAAGAGATAAAACATAATCGGAGATTTTTGAGCGTTGCAATGGATATAACCATTTTTCGGTATTAGTTATGGATATACAGGTATCTTAACCCTGGTAAAAATTGGCAGTAGAATCTGTGTTCCAAAATACCATAGACCTAAAGCTGGCTGTAAGATTTCCAATACCCTCTGTAGCCGGCTGTACAATTTCTTATAGCCTTTTATAGCCGATGGCGATTAAGCAACAGCCAGACGATAAAGTTCATGCTAAACGTTACTAAATACGGATACTAGGACTTAGTGAGTTTTTGGACTGCCGCTCTCTTTTTGTGCCGTAGTATCTTGATATATTTTGCGAGGAAAGCTCCCTACTTTTGAAGGATGCCTATCATTCTTAATAATGTTGGAGCGCCTTCAATTTCATATGATATTGTGCAATACCTCTGGTGTGAAATAGTTGCTTCAGACGCCGTGGCACGCTGCGGCGCGGCGGGCGGGCAGAGAGCGCGAAACGCGCATTGGCGCCTACAAACCTAACAGTGATACTTCACGCATTGCGCAATGCGTGAAGTATCCCTGTTAGGTTTGTAGGCGCCAGTGCGTTGCCGCTCCGCTTTGTATTAGGCTCTAATATTTAATCTCGCGGAGTCAGCGTTTTTCAACTCATGATTTTGAAATGTTTGCACATCCTGTATGGATTATTCTCGTTTTAATTGATGGAAAAAAAAAACGTATTTTAAAGGAAAATATAATGTGTGTATTGTAGACATTTAGGTAGTTCCGTGAAAAACTTAGTGATTTCCAAAGCACACGAATTTCTACACAATTTCTTATAGCCTTTTATAGCCAATGGTGATAAAGTGTAAAGCCCAGCGATAGAAACTATAGCCCGACTGTATACTTTTTTATAGCTTCGTATGGCCCGGCAATATGATTTGCTCCGCTTTCTACAACCAGCTATATGATTTTCTATAGCTTTCTTTAGTCGGCTATAAGAACTCCTATGGTATTTTGAAACGCAGCTCCTATCTCCAATTTTTACCAGGGAAAGATAGATATAAAAGTTGATGGGTAAAATCTACACTGACCTTCGGAGCAAAATATTTTCTTGGATGGCTTGCTCAGTGTGACCGAATGAAAACCGGCCTTACACTGGCACACAGCGTTATGATCAACTTGAATGCAAGTGGCATGAAGGTCTGTACATGTTTGGGCATAAAAACATTGTTCACCTAATCTAACGGCTGTAACAAAAAACAGTAGAACAATAGTAATGCATCGTGAAAGTACTGACGCGCGGAACCGTTCACTGTTGNGGGGGGTCAAAAATGCCGAGAAAATGCGAAATGTAATTTATGAACGATCCCTGTAAAGTTGGCTGCAGGTGCTTAACACAAAGCCATTAAACAACAGGAAAAAAACGATCCCTGAGTGAAACAAGTACCATGTGCACATTGTGTTCACGTGTAATGAAATCACTGTCAATACTTGGGTTTGGGTCGACTAGGCAACCAAAGTAACTGCGTGCCGGATCGTGGAATATCACGGTAAATGAAGGCGCTACTGACAGCTTATCGTGTTTTAGAAGTCTATCAACTATGAAACCTTTTTTATTCAATACGAATCGCTGATAGTAGCCGATACAACTGGTAATTCGCTTTTAGGTGCCCGACCATCACTATCTGAGTCTTTTTCTGGAGAAAATATTTTTGGTCAAACCCGCATGGTTTGTACGGGCACCGCGACTACCGCGATGTAGTTTGCACACAGGATACCAGTGAGAGATAGTTGTCTTTGTAAATCGCAAAATTAAGCGGCGCATTCAGATGTATGGCCAGGGACCGAATTTTATCGGTCCTTCCACAGTACCTACTTGAATGTGCTGAAGACGAGTCTCGACCGCACATAAGTCCGAATCAGCGCCTCTGATTGATCGGTGGTGCGGTTTGGACTTATCGATGAATGTTGCATCTCCATGTGATCATATGTAAGAGCCGACAAAAGGCCCCAGGTCACATAAAACGGTGTATTAGCACTCTCTATATCGTTCGGAATTTTACACTGTAATTTTATTGGTAAATAACGAAATAAACAATACAAATTTATTTTAAAAGAACATTATTTGTGTGAACGAACATTACCTTTATCTTTAGCGTAAATGATGGGCGTAGAGAGATGAGTAGTCGCATAGTGCCTGGGTCTCAATCCCACAAACAGCTTAAGTACGAAACATATTAAGGCGGAAAATATTGCCACACCACTGGCGACTCCTAAAAGACTCCCAACATTAGTTGAAATCACTTCAATGTCTGGAAAAAGAAAATCGACAAAATTAATAAGTTTTCCGATGACTCGTCCTTATCCCAATAGTAATTTTTTTTTTAATTGTTATACATTTTTACACTTTTTCCATGGTATTTTCAGAAGAATCAGAAATATGTTTTGGCTAATTTTTATGTAAAGAGATAAAACATAATCGGAGATTTTTGAGCGTTGCAATGGATATAACCATTTTTCGGTATTAGTTATGGATATACAGGTATCTTCACCCTGGTAAAAATTGGCAGTAGAATCTGTGTTCCAAAATACCATAGACCTAAAGCCGGCTGTAAGATTTCCAATACCCTCTGTAGCCGGCTACACAATTTCTTATAGCCTATTATAGCCGATGGGGATTAAGCAACAGCCAGACGATAAAGTTCATGCTAAACGTTACTAAATACGGATACTAGGACTTAGTGAGTCTTTGGACTACCGCTCTCTTTTTGTGCCGTAGTATCTTGATATATTTTGCGAGGAAAGCTCCCTACTTTTGAAGGATGCCTATCATTCTTAATATGTTGGAGCGCCTTCAATTTCATATGATATTGTGCAATACCTCTCGTGTGAAATAGTTGCTTCAGACGTCGCGTCGTGGCACGCTGCGGCGCGGCGGGCGGGCAGAGAGCGCGAAACGCGCATTGGCGCCTACAAACCTAACAGTGATACTTCACGCATTGCGCAATGCGTGAAGTATCCCTGTTAGGTTTGTAGGCGCCAGTGCATTGCCGCTCCGCTTTGTATTAGGCTCTAATATTTAATCTCGCGGAGTCAGCGTTTTTCAACTCATGATTTTGAAATGTTTGCACATCCTGTATGGATTATTCTCGTTTTAATTGATGGAAAAAAAAAACGTATTTTAAAGGAAAATATAATGTGTGTATTGTAGACATTTAGGTAGTTCCGTGAAAAACTTAGTGATTTCCAAAGCACACGAATTTCTACACAATTTCTTATAGCCTTTTATAGCCAATGGTGATAAAGTGTAAAGCCCAGCGATAGAAACTATAGCCCGACTGTATACTTTTTTATAGCTTCGTATGGCCCGGCAATATGATTTGCTCCGCTTTCTACAACCAGCTATATGATTTTCTATAGCTTTCTTTAGTCGGCTATAAGAACTCCTATGGTATTTTGAAACGCAGCTCCTATCTCCAATTTTTACCAGGGAAAGATAGATATAAAAGTTGATGGGTAAAATCTACACTGACCTTCGGAGCAAAATATTTTCTTGGATGGCTTGCTCAGTGTGACCGAATGAAAACCGGCCTTACACTGGCACACAGCGTTATGATCAACTTGAATGCAAGTGGCATGAAGGTCTGTACATGTTTGGGCATAAAAACATTGTTCACCTAATCTAACGGCTGTAACAAAAAACAGTAGAACAATAGTAATGCATCGTGAAAGTACTGACGCGCGGAACCGTTCACTGTTGTTTTGCACACGAAAGGCTGCAGTGCCGATCAAACTGTAGCATCAAATATTTTTTTAGATTTTTCTCAGCTTGAAATGCACGTGAAAAATTCAAAACGACCGCACCAGTTTCCGCAATTTTTTGTCCTGGTTAAACTTCCAATTTCACACTGACCTCTATTAGCGGCAATACACGTTTGACTGGTGAGGTCCAATATTTTACCACTGATGATATACGTGTTTTTGGATTACATTTTGTAAAAAGGAACTCTTATATCTGGCTCATCGCGTAAAAGCTCCCATTTATGTGGGGAACATAATGACACATAATGCTACCAGTTTCCATGAAGGCTTCTTGTTTGAATGCGAGGCAATACACTTGATGAATGATCGAAAAGCGGAGTATTCTGCACGGCAATTAATGATACAAATATTTTAACTCCGGTGTGAGCGGTGCAGTATCGCGCAGAACTGAAGGCGTTTTCGACTGGTGATATCACAACCAGCAGGCGTGCCTCGTTTATGGATCGTATAAACCTGCATCTCTCTCGTCATTTATCTGAAGACGAGTCAGGATCCACCATGATACGATACATTTGAAAGAACATTTTTGCAAAATATGCTGTTTTAAAAATTAAACAGTAGTTCCGAATTACAAAATGCAGTCTACTTGATCTACACTGTTAAAATGCTGATTGCTCGTTTTGCAAATGCGGAAGTGCAAGGGCGATTTTTTTTATTCAAAAATATATTTCACGCTAGGAAAAATGGGCACGACCAATACAAACATGCATTTTATGAGCACCAGCTGCAAGATTTCAAAAACTCCCATCGGTTTATGTTTAAATATAAACAGAGATGAAATTTCACGCTAGAGTGCTTCGTATTTGGATACTCGTTGAGTTTATCCAGCATTCGTATTTTTATTTAGGTTACCCGCGATAGCATCGAGGGCCGTCAGTTTGCGATAAGTCTGGACAAACCTCGAATTTTATTTTCATTTCAGGATTTGTCAGAACCGCTACAGATGGATCTCGATTTTTCCATAGAATGAATGTAGTAAAACGAGCATGTTGAAATTGGGTCTAAAAAGCATATCGATGGTGAAACTATACCAGACCACGTATCTCGATTTGCGACATTTTAAACTTCCTGTCATACTTCATTTTTTAAGTAGAAAACCACTCATTGTCAGTTCTTAAAAACTTCCGTTTTTCCCTCTCTATGCGAAGAAAAGTCTGTACAAATTTCAAGAAATTGTATTGATTTTATCTCATCCAAAAAAATAAAATGGCAGCGGAGATTTTTAAACACCGCAAACCAGATACGTGGTCTGGTTAGTAGCCCTACCGTCGATATACTGCGGTGTTTGAAAACTTCTGCTATTATTTTACTACTTCAAGAGAATAGTGCCTGACTCCATTGCGCAAACATTTCAAAAATATTGTTATGAAAGAATGGGAAGAAAATAAAAGAAATTGTTTTTGTAAAAAAAAGTATTAAGATCTTCACTCGAAAAAAAAGTGATGCGACAACGTTGGAAACCGAGATACGTGGTTTGATCTTTTCACCATCGCATGAAAGTTTTTTAAAGCATATGAATAGATATTGAATTTGACTCGATAGTACGTAATAATTCTCAATGGAATGAGAGTAGCAACGGTAACATGGGCAAGATACATGTGATTCCAGATACCATTCAGGAAATACGTCAAGCTCTCAAAATAACTAGTTTATAGCTTGCAAATAGGGCACTGTTACTTGTCACAAGGTTTGAGCATATCGTACTTTTGCACTTTGCCGCAAAATTGACATGCAGTATTGCGGTTACATGACCTCCTTGCAGGGTTAGTGGGTACCTATTCTCTCCGGAGAGGGACCTTTGCCACTAATTTGTTCGATATCAGTGGAGTGGCGTGCTTTGCGATATATCGATGATCTGTCATTTAAACCTATTGAAAATGATCGATAAACAGGGTGTTCGTACCGAACGCCTTAATAATCGATTCTTTAGCTTCAAATAGGGAAAAATCGCAAATCGATCATTCACGCCTCGCCACTGTGTATACGTGATCAATATGAAACTCCGTCTCCAGAGGAGCATTCGATGACCATTGAGTATGACGTGTTTCCTTTATTGCCCTTTACGTTGGCCTATATATGATTATTTAAATGATAACAATTTTTTTTTTCTAAATGTGAAGTTCAGGATTACTTACGTTTAGCACAGCCTTTAGTAGCACCTAATCTAACAGTATATTTCCGGTCGCAAAGACATCGCTTTGTCACGGGATCACAGTGAACGTTGAGCAGGCGATCGTTACATTCTCCTCTGCATTTTGAGCCTAAAAACTCCCCAATTTCTGCAAAAAAAAGAACAACCATCAGATTTTAGTGATACAAGACGATTTTTTACTTACACCGGATAGTGCTGCTACTGGCAATTTTGCAAGTTAGCGACACTATTTCCCTCCATTTAAATCAATGAAAAATATCGATTTATGTGAGGCAAGCTGCCTCCCCAAGAATCGATTGTTTCACATACATTTAAATGGAGGAAAATCAATGTTGCCATGTTTCAAGAATCGTCACTATACTGCCTTGCTGTGGAAGAACGCCGTATGAACATTCGAGAGTTTTACCAAATTTCCTTTAAAAAATCACAAGTTTCCGGGGAAATTTGTAAACATTTTTCTCCTGATTTTTCAGAGAATTTTTTGGAGTAATTTGATTTAAAGTGTCCAAAAATTTCAAAACTATTTGTAACTTTTTTTAAAAATAAGTATTCACTGTAAGGAAATTTGGCAACATTCGAATACTCATACGGCAATTTTCCTTAGAACGGCGGAGTCTAAGGAATTTTACAGTTTTGAAAAATTATCCTTTTTTTCCTGCTCCCCCTCTTTCCCTCTCTTTTTGAGTCGAGACCTACAATTTAGGAAGTTTTTACGATTGTAAGTTCTCACTGCAAGTACCCCAGTGCAATAGAGTTTCTGTCATTAATTTGTAGAGAGTAACTCCAAGATCTGATTCATTCTGGTTCATTTTCATCCCAGTCTCTGTTTAACTAAATTAAATTCTCGAAATCCACCGCATATATATCGATGGATTTTGATATCTTACACGCGAGATGATAACCTTCAAAAATTTCGAATTACACGGGAAGCTATAGGACCATATGGAGCTAATTTCTCGGAAAATCTTGAAATAAAAAAAAAGTGGATATACCTTCTCCTTTATGTTAAATACTGACATATGCTCCAAATATTTCCATCAAACTTAATTGGTTTATGTGGTTAAGAAGATGCAGTCGAGTCATAAGGAATCGACAGTCTTCGGCTTAAATTACAGCGCGCAGCCATTTAGATTATAATACAATTTTGTATCATCTGGAGGTTCAAATTTCTCTGATTGAGCCGTTTGATCAAGCTAAAATACGTCCGTACCTTACGTCTTGATGATTACTTCATCTCTGCTTTTAGGTAGGGAAGGTAAAATCCTGAAAATGAAATTTCAACCAGAATCCAAATTTTCCATTGGATATTCAAGATACCTATTTCAAAATCATCGTTCATGAGATTTTATTCCATAACATTATCACGTAAAAAAAGAAAAACAGATACGTAATAATGCATCTCTTAACGACTCTCATGTTGGTCATGCTCATATTTTCTTGAGTGGGGAGAGAATGATTTTCGGCCTGGACCTTTACCCCATTAAAACGTCCATGGGCCAAACAATAAGTTAGACCGCTTTTAACAGAGAGGAACCAAGCCATATCAGCTATTGCCAAATTTAACTGGGCAATTTAATTTTTTACAAGAGTACGTTTGTGTGGATTCCTAGGAAAATTTGAAGGAACTTGCTTCGTACTAATGGAAAAAATCCACTGAAATTTGCACGGAAATCCCCACAATCGCTTTAATGGAACAAATCAAATTGCACGATTAAATTTGGCAATAGCTGATGTGGCTTGGTCTTTCTGTTTAACGCGGTCCAGTTTGAGGTTGCAACGGTCTGCAACGGTCTGCAACGTCGCAAACCGCGATACGCGATGGTTGCGGACTTACACCGGCGCTATAGGTAGGTACGTGGAAAAAGCCAACCCGCAAAAAATGGGGTGTTCCAGCCACGATTTTTCTTTAAAAAAAGAGAGCATTAAAGAAAAGAAAAGGAAAATGGAGGCTACGGATTAAAGCGGCGAGTGGAAAAGCGTGGGAGAAAGTGGCTGGGGGATCTAACCGGTTAAAAGTGAAATAAATTAGAGTAAGGCTATATCTTGACTATCGATCGCCACGGACGCAGCGGGAGCCGGAGGGGGGGGGGGGGGGGGGGGGGCGCAGCAGCGTGGAGGAGCACGAGCACGCTCGATGCTCGCGCTCGAACGTGGTGCAGAGTAGGATTGATAGTGGTGCACACTGGCGGGAACCACCAGGAGGTTCACGACCCGTTGCCTAGCAACCCGCCGGAGAGTCTTAAAACAACCGTTTCCACTGCAAATTTGGCCATGACTCAGGTAAGCATTTTTCGTCAGCAATTATTGACAACTTTCCGCCGACATCCCCCCGCGCCTCTCGCGAATAATGCAGGATTTTATTGTCACGTCCTTCATCCCGATCAATCGAAAGTGATATCAAAAAGTCCCTCCTGGAATTAGATTTCTTACACAGCAATTCTATGCATCCAATCTATTTGCTCGCGGGAAATCTACGAGCGAAGCGTTACCTCTGTCCCTCAATATTCCATCACTAAAATACTTTTGCGTGATTTTTTGCAATCTTAAATTTTAATTTGAGTTAGAATGCATTTGTAATGAACGATGGTGGTTCTGTGTTAATAAATTTTACCTACATGAAATGTTAAACTCAACGATACACACAACAGAAAATTCGTTTGAAAAAGTTCGTTATGCCCACATGCGATAGGGACGCAATTCGAAATTCTTATAGGGACAGTTCCCCACTCCTCCTAGAACATAGAAGGATTTGCTTTTAAATTCTGGTGTTTTCTAGTATATTTCCTTATCTTTGCAGGATGTTAGGGACCATCTTCTACAAAAAGATATTTTTGCCTTTGGAGAAATTTTGTTTCCGTTGAGATGCAATTAAAGGAGGGCTTTGATATTCGGAAAAGAATAATGGCTCTAGTGCGTTTGTACATACGTTTGTACACAGTTTTCGCAACGGTGATATGTTTGCGCACAACTATCGCAAATATCGTTTTCGCATGAAGCCGATCAATATAGCTCGTGCACAATGCTTCTTCGCTATATACTACTAATCTGAGAAGGCTATATCGCACGGAAGTTTGAACGAAATAGAGAGGATGTCAAATGACTCAGTAAATTAGTGAGTGAATAAAGAATTTAAGAGTTATTTTAAGTCTCGTGTGTTTTTATTCAATCAGGAATGGCTAATCAAAAAACTCATGAGGGGTCATTCCCTCAAAATATAAAAGCTCTGTGTCGCGACGTAGCTTGAGGATTAGTGGAATTTTACCTAAATATGCACAAGGGCCAAAAAAACTCAGAACATTTATTAATTTTAAAGTAAGGCAGCATGTATTATAAGCGGACGCTGTCACATGGGTAAACAAGCTCAGGAGACTTAAGTATAACGCTCGAGTAGCGGCTAAGAGTCTAGTAGTCCTCCGCCAAAAATGTTGCATGACTGTTTTCAGTCAAAATCGACTGAGGGAATACCTTTACTTTTTGGACGTCTTTTTCTTAACAGAGAAAGCAATTGATTTTGATAATGAACAATTCCTAAAATACGAAATGACGAGAATTGAACCATGCAAATAAGGTCATTATACGTCCCCAACAGAAATAAGGGGAGGTAAGTAGCCGCAGCTACTGTGGGCGCGCGCGGGCACAACTAACAAAAGGCTTTGATGCAACTATTCGTGTTCAAGGGATGTCCGTGCTGCATATACGCAATATTGAAGGCGCTCCGGGAATCGTTGAGCAGCGTGTACGCGCTAGCGCACATTCTCAAATGAGTTTCTGGTCAGAGTTGCGCATGTGCCGGCACCAGTGAATTTGAGTGGTTGCTCCATTTTACTGCCTCCGTCAGTGAAACATTTTTCACTGGCGCCAAGATGCATGATAATATTTAATTGTATTAAAAGGAAAAGCATACGATTTTAAAACGGCGTGGACATATTTGGTGGCAATCAAATATTCCAGAGCTGATCACAACCAAGAGTTTGGAAAAAAGCATCAGAGGCTAAAGTAAAAAAATGCGTGTTTACGGTTCCGACGTTGCAGATATTAATTCGTGTATTATTTTTATTTTTGCGAGAAAACTAACTATACGTTTTTTTAGGAAATTTTTGGTGAAATGAAATCCATTAATTGAGAATATTTATAAAAAAAAAATTTGGGAGGAGTATTTTGGCTAGTTCTCTTTTAATATGAAAAAATGGAGGTTTGCGAACGTTACTATGGAGATACGCATTTTTGTAATTCGGTCATTGACATGTTAAAAAGGAGCAGGGAACACTCGTGCAATTTTAAAGCGCACTAATGTGCTCTTGCCCATACTCAAAACCAAATCAAGAGGCATGTGCAAAAACTATACACACAAGACTAGCTTCGTGTGTGTTTTTAATTCTCTTGTAGACAGGCTCGCTCTGCTATATAAATACAATGCCCGCAAATATACCTTTCAGTCAAACGGACCCACCTAAAAAAATGTCAGAGGAAACATTGATTCTACCAGTGAAATGTCCACGGCTATTGATACATTGAATATTTAACGTTTCGTACTCACTTTACACGAGGGCTTTAGCGTGGAATCGCCCCTGAACCGAGCCCTCCATCTCTAATTTCGTTGTTAAATGCTAAAAAATTAATTATCTTTCGATGTGCCATTTAAAACGCATTTCCATCATTTACGACGGAGCCCTTTAATCTTTAAACCAGCCATATAGTAATGCTCTCAAAGTCTTGCATCCAAATACTTTTTTTGAGAACTTTCAAACTAATTGAAAGAACAGAAGTCAGGAAACAAAGTTTTGAACATCTCGGCTAAAAATAAATTAGAAGAATATTGAGAGAGGGCTTTGGATTAACAAGCGCGAAAAGGGCAAACAACATCAAAAAGGCTGAGGAAAAAAAGAGAACTGTTTCAAACTTCATTAAATTGATGAAAGCTCTTCTTAATTTGTTGAGATGCAGGTGGAATCTACATCTCCAGAGGAAAAACCCCGGCAGAATCAACCGGAAGACAGCCAAAAAACCAGAGGAAAACTTCCGTTCAAAGTTTGGTTCCACGAAGTTCCTGTGCCGGGAAGATCGAACATATCACCGGCTCACCCCCTGTCCCACGGTACGTGTGAAGACTTCCAGATCCTACACGAG